GGAACTGTCTGATATGCTCAACGAATCCGATCTCAAAAAGCTGCTCGATGAACCACTTTTCGTCCTCAGTGCCAATCATAGAGCACATGGCGCCAATCGTTAGCACCCATGTCTTAAGCTGCGATAGTCCCTCCCACTGACTATGTGGTCCATCGACTGACCAGAAGATGGCTCGTAGTTTTGGTGCAATCAAGCTTCCCAATCGCTTCAACCCAAGTATCACCATAGACGTCAAGATCCACATGAGTAACCCCACACGGAAGGCGTCGAGGCTAGATCCTGGATATTCCAGGGCCAGAAGCCGGTATCGAACTGCTGCGTGACGCCACTGTAGCCATCTCGCCGCGTGCTTTGACGCCTCCGGTGCTCCCAGTGGTGCATGATGCAAAACCCAAGAGCATTCCGCCGTCTCCTGTATGATCTCCACTAGCTCCTCCGGGAAATATCCCTGGAGACATAGTCGCTGCAGAGCAGGTGCAAAGCGGATCAAGTCTTGTTGGGGAGCAAGCTGCAGCTGAGGCGGAGTGACAACCCAATATGGGCCAGGATCGTATTCACATGGCAGACTGCACGGCTCCAGAAGAACGGCAGACATGTGCCCATCGCCAATGATAAAAAGCTCCTTCAATGCTGGATCTGGTACATGGTGGAGGCCACCCCAAGAATCGAACAGCACTTTTGCTGCTTGCATATGTATCTTCGCTGCTTGATAGTTCTGTCGGTAGGCATCTGCTGCATATAGGTGAAAGACAATAAGCAGCAATTGTTGTTTTGGTGCAGAACTGAAGCGCCGTCGCACCGCTTCCAGCGCGTTGCCCATGTACTTGTCCGTGCCCTGACCGGGGACCATGTCCACATTCTCGATTCTAGCGGCCATGCTAGCGAGCATTGCATTCATTTCAACTTCACTCTGCATGGCTCGCCGAACAACATCCACAGCGGTAGTCTGGTACGTGTATGATCCTTCTCGCGAGGCCCACGTCTCAGCGTGCCACACGCTGGGATGGAAGATTTCGCAGAAGTACCGACAAAGCTTTGCGACATGTGGGTCGAGTTTGACGACCGATTGACCGAAGGGGTCGAGCGAGGTCGAAGTGATCTGACTGATATCCCGAGGAGTTTCGACGGCACGCGGGGAGTTCAGCAACACAACTGCTTTTTTCTCAACGGTTGGCCCGGCCAGCGACTTTGGTGTCTTCGGCTTGGTGGATTTTCTACGAGTCGAGGCTGGTGATTCAAGATTTTCCCGTTTTGGCTGCTCGGCAAACTTGGCGCGCGGCGACAGTCTAGCGGGTAGCCATGTCTTATTGTCGGTATCCTCTTCTTTGGGCTCGGTCTTTACCTTTGGCGGAGATGGCGAGGAGTCGACCAGGTCGGGATCTGTTACAGAGGTAGTAGGCTTTTCCCGGGTCGCATTCTTCCTCGCCCTCGTCCCAGCGCGACTGGCGCTGGTGGCAGAGCGCCGATGCCGACGACCACGCTGGACATGAGAATTGATCGAGGTCTGTTCGGCGGCGCTGCTGCGGGTCAGCGAGGTGCTGGCGGCATCCTTATTGACGAATAAGAACTGAGGTGGCATCTTTTTGAGGTCACGAATGGAGTCTTTGTGGGGATCTTCATGGTCAGCGGCGGCCTGCATCAACGGATCTCGAGGTCATGGAGGTTGAAGCAATCCATTATCGATATCTGGGTCTTGCTTCCTGACCCTTCCGGGGGGAGGGCTTGAATCGACGGTTCCTGCGAGTCTCGGTAGTGGTATGATGGCACGATGGGCAGAATTGGCGAAGCGGAAAGACGAAGCGAGGCCGGTGGGCACGATAGGTGAATAATCCGGGGGAGGCGTAAAGCCGGATGTCAAGACTCGGAGCTGAGGACTCAGGAGAGTGGCAGAGGAGTGAGGGGAACTCGAGACACGCAAGACACGGCGAGGAGGATGTGGCTTTTAGCCTCGGGTCTAGACATCGGGCCGCCTCACAAATCAGTGACGCTAATCCTAAATTGATGTGCGCTAAGCGTCTATGGGTCAAGCGTTGTACAACTCCAGCTTCCCATCGTCATTGAATGATTGAATTATCATCAAGACTCTCGGTGGCTCTCAGTGGCCGTCATTCCATTCGAGGGACAAGGGGCAGAACTGCAAACAGATCTCTTCAATAGCTCATTTCTGCATAAAATCACATTCAGCCCTGTTGCGAGAATATCTCCTCTCAAAAGCAGTACTGTATTTCCCTCTCTCATTTCAGCGGCGGGCTCCCCCATATACCCTGTCGGTCTGCCTCGACACAGCTCATTGTTTGGCTCATTTGCTCTCAGCAGAGCCTCCACCAAGTCAACAAGGTCACGAGGCTGATCAGACTGTCAAGCCTCATTCTCCCGGTTGGTGAACTTCTCATAAAACTCCAGGGTCATCGCTGCTAAGAAGCACGGTATCTGTTTCTTCTCTTTCACCCAGAAATTGATCAGATCTCTGATTTCTGCAGCAAAAGGACTGTCGGAACCGCCGCTAATCTTCATTGTACCGTTGTCACCATCGAAAATAATGTAATGGTCGTCCTCTTCGTCCTCGCTCTCATCCCCCAGATCATGAGGTCGCCCATAATACATACTCGAAACCTTGGCCTTTCCATTGGGGAGAAAGTTGACTTTGTATCCGAGAACGCTTGCAATAACGTCCCGGAATTCTGCAGCCTTTTGGGTCCAGATCTCTCGCTGTCGCCTCATCCTTTTTTCTTTCTCGGCGACAACCATTTCCATATCCTTCAGATCCAATTTGAGCGCATCAACCGAGGTTGCTGGGACCATCTTGACTCCATCAAGGTCCTCACCCCGCAACTGTGCGAGAAGCGCCTTGTTTTCTTCCTTGAGCGTTCGTAGAGTTGATAGTTTGATCGCTTCGGCTTTGGCAGTAGGATTGTCCCGAAGCTCCAATACTCGTGTCTTAGAGCTCTCTCGTAAGGCTTTGAGTTGTGATTTTGTCGCTTGAAGGTCTGTGGCCAACATCTGTGACTGTTGAGCGGTCTTCTGCAACGCGATTTGGAGATTCTTGTTCTTTCTCAACAATGCACCGAGTTGTGAACTACCGCCTTCGCCTTCAGGTTCTTGCGAATCTGCTGGTCGCTTGGTTCCACGAGGCTCGTCCGCAGCTGGGGTGCTGGGTGCAGCTGCAGCTTCAAGTTTCGAAAGATCAGAGTGGAGTGTCTGCACTTCAGTTTTGTATTGATCCACCAAGTTTTCCAGGGCCTTGATTTGTTCTGAGCGTTGTGCATCGAAGTTCTGGTTGTCCATCAAGACAGTTTCCTCGGTATCGAAGGTCTTCAATTGTGCTCGAAGATATTCAACCTCTTTGACGGCAAGGACCCGTTGTCGCTCTAATCTTTTGTAAGCTTTGTTGTCTTGACCCGCGTCTGGTTGTGCAGTCTTCGTGGATTTCAAAGCCTCGATCTCGGCGGTCAAGGCCGCTTTGTCTCTTTCCTGTGCCCTGATTATCTCATCCTTCTCGGCGATATCGCTTTCGACGGTGCCCAGTCTGTCCACAATTGAAGCGTACTCTATTCGTTGTTGGATAAGAGCTTTTACCACAGCTTCAGGGGATTCGAATTCGCTCTCTTGACCGTCGCGCTGCAGGAGGCTTGTCCAGGTTCTCTTTTCGTCCTCTAGAATTTCTCTTTGTATCTGAGCTTCACCCAGCTGTCTTTGCACGTCCCTGAGCACTTGAAGTTCGATTTCTAGACCGTGTTTCTGTTCTTCAACGACCTCGACGCTGCGATGTGATTCGCGCAGTCGCCGCAGCTCGGCTAGTTGTTCTCTGTTGGTTGCCTCGAGCTTTCGAATGTGGCTCATTTGTTCTGAGAGTTGGTTTTGCAGAACCTGCATCGCTTCGCTGTCACCAGTGTGCGACTTCAACGCAGCCACTTCTGCTTCGAGACTTTCGATTTTCGAATCCCGTTGAGACAAGCGCCCCTGCGATGACTCAAACTGCTGAGTCAATTCTTCCAGTTGTTGTCTGACACTGTCCACAGTCTCTTGAAGAACCGCACGCTTTGCCTCGACATCGTTGAGTTGGTACTTGTTATGTCTTTCTTGATCCGCGAGGCGTGCCTGGGCGTCCGCAGCATCTTCCTTGAGTGAAGCTGCTTGATCTTGTAAATCGCGTAGTTGTCGTTCTAGCGCGGCTTTTTCGTTGATTCTCTGGTCCTGCAGTTCGCGCAATTCCTTCGCGAGCGCCTCCTGTCGCTGCGTCGCCTTTTGAGCGGCGCTCTCTGCCGTTTGGTATCTCTTGAAATCGGCATCGGCCCGGAGTTGTTGTTCTCGTAGCTCTTTCTCGTGTTGTAGCGCCAAAAGGCCTCGTTCTTGTTGCAGATTCTTCAACTCGTATTCAAGGGAGTTGATTTTCGCACGCAGGTTCTCATCGCGGGACTGATCTGCCCGGGAGACAGAAGGCTGACGGACTCTGGACTGTCTGGAAGCCTGTGGAGGGTTCTCAACTGCGCCGCCGGTAATGAAATCGTATGACGGTTGTGTGCTGGCAAGTCGATTTTGACCGGCTGCGGAAGCCGGTCGAGGTAACGCTGATTGCCCACCCGAAATGCTTTTGCGACCCGAGAGGGAAATTCTTGAGGTCGATAAGCGCATACGCTTAGACGCCGGAGAGCTCATGTTGCTAGGGCATTTAGTGAAGGAAGAGGGGTTCTAGTCAGGAGATGAAGAGGTGAAGATGAGGTGAAGAAGAGGTGGTTGTTTACACTCTCTGTTTTCGGCCTTGGGAATCAGCCAATGAATCATCCGAAGATATGCCGAAGGATCTCGCCGCGCTCGTCCTTTACAGCCTCACCAGCCATCTATCAGCCTTTCCATCACCTCTGCACAGAATGCCTTGAGTTCATCATGCTTTGAAGCACCTTCCCTTGCCATATCGCACCTAAAGCAGGCCCTGCAGATCTCAATACTCCCCACCAGCCGGCATTTCTGTCTCGCACCCTCTTGACGGCTCTCAATCGCTCTCATCCGGTCGTTCGCGTACATTGAGTACAATCCTCGCTGGTGCTGAGGCACCCTTCGCGTTTGCTCAGGAAACATCCGAGGCAGATGCCCGGCATGTTTCCGATGAAGTCGTTGACAGCCTTCCGCAGCTCTTCGGCGAAGTCTCGTTTGCAGTATGCACGATCGCCAACGCATGCTTCGTCTTGAAGACTCTTCCAGGTGATGTTTTTGCTGATGAGGGTTGCAGCCATCTCTCGCGCCTTGCACACCATCAAATACACCGTCTGCACATTTGTCGTCTCCGCATAGAGTGTAAGCTCGTGAAACTTCAACTGAAGCATCAAATACCCATACTTGTTCGGATTGACAGGTCAGAGACTTTTTGGCTGTCTCTCTTCCAATGCATTCCACCATGACTGCACTGATGTTTTCAGAGTTGCTCATTTCCTTGAGATCTCGCACAAGATATGTGGCGCCTGAATAGATCAGGACTCTCGTCATTTGCCAGAATAACCTCTCGAGACGGAATACGATGGCAGCACGTAAAAGCATCGCAGCGCCGGAAAGCACCACCCGCTGCATCCTAGACTGCGTAGCCCGGTCCTCAGCCACGGACCGCTTTTTCTAGTACTCCAGATAGATCCCGTGGAAGCATTCAATAACACTCCAGAGCCTCATCAAAATCCACGGCCTCAGTGCTGGAATACACAGCCACTCGGCTGCAGCAGTTGTCATCTTGATCAACTGCATACCATCGAGATGGTGGAGGTCTCCCTTGTGGTGTAATATTTCGAGCAGGCTTAGGACGATCTTTGGGTCATCCTCTGGCAAGCAAATGACCTTGGTATTGCCTTCTCCTTCTCTACGTGCGCGAGAATAGCACCTTCCGCGAAAACGATACTGAAACGATACTGACGACCGCTCCAGAAATCCTAATGTCCAGGACATCATTGCCTGTCCCGACTCTGAAGACAACATCGCCGCCTGGCGTAATCTTACACCAGTTTGGCGCTGCGCCTTTCTTGTGCGTTCTCGTCAGGGTCTATTGCGCTGGCATTTCGTTTGCGGTTTGTCCGGTCCTAGGCGAAGGGAGGTTGGCATCTCTGACGTTGAGGTCAGCCATGGTTGTTTCGATTGGATATGTGCGAAGGACGAGCAGAGGAGGCGGCAGGTTGGCAAGTTGATGATGAGGTCGTGTTGAGTGCAGTGGCATTTGAAGGTAGAAGCCAGAGTATTGGGCGAGTGGAGGCAGAGAGAAGAAAGTGACGGCCGAGTGAATTTTCCAAGCACAGCATTCACTCTGCTCCTATCTGAGGGAGACGCTCGTCGTGCACGACTCCTTCCGGCTACAATTACCTGCCTATGTAAGTGCTCTCTCTGTCACTTGACATATCGACGGCAGGACATACCAGCATCTCGACAGCTTCGACGCTCTCCGCTGCTTCAGACACACACTTCCTGTTCCCGGATTACCATTCCCTTCATTGTCGCCAACTCTCGAGCCGGACGACACGTGAACTAGGAAGAGATATATACAGAGCCGCGAATTGGCAGACTGCTCGGACCGCGGGTAACGCGTGGGGACTGACGGATGGAGCTAAACACACAGCTGTCTAGTACAAAGAAGGAACCACTGAGAAAAAGTGAGATGGGTAAAATTGTAGTATGACGAAGCGAAAATATTTCCAAGTCTCTCGCAACAGATAAAACGTGCACTTCGCCCACCCCCTCCCTCCTCCCCCTGGCCCAGCGCCCTTCATCAAAACATCTCCATAAGCGGTACTGCATGCAAAAGCGCCCCTCCCCCCACAAACCTCCCGATCACTGATCTTTGGAGTTTTCTGGCAAACACAGATAAAACAGGAATCAGCGAAACACGTCTACTACGATGAGCGTGCTCTCAACCTAGATGGCGATGACTGCAACGGCCCCTGCTCCGAGCAACACTCCCATCAAGGCGATACCACCTGTAGGTCTCGAGGCAGCGGCGCCGGTGTAGACAGCGACCAGGGACGTCGCGTCAGGGGCAGGAGCATAGCTAGAGATCGCGGGCGTGGGTGTAGGCGAGGCCGCGGTCGCCGCTGCGACGGGGGTGTTTGCTGGCGTGTATGCCGCGGGGGGCGCACCGCCGGGAACATATGGCGGCGAAGAACCGGCCGCACCACCGCCGTACGTGGCTGCTGTGGCGGCAGCGACCGTGGCCGGGGCCGAGTTGCCGGGGCCGCCGTGCGGGTATCCTCCACCGTGTCCTTCTTCATGGCTGGCAGGTCCGTAGGTGGTGAAGGGCCGGAGGGGTGCCGTTGGGGTGACTTTCCACGGGCATGATTCCGTCAAGGTGGTGCCCTGGCACGTCGAGCATGGGTAGACGACTGCGGGGGCCGCAGTGGGTTTGGATGGGCAATGAGTCTGCAAAAAGGTGTTCATGTCAGTTACTGACTGACTGTGCTCTTCCTTCTCTGTGAACCTTTGAAAGGCTCACTTCCATTTGTTAAGAGGGCGGGGGGGGAGAAGGTACTGACCGTTGTCGCCGTGATGAACTCCGTCACGGTGATTCCCTGGGACTGGAAAGCGCACACGTAGCAGGGCATGGATGGGATGGGAGTGTTGAAGATGGGCTTCTGGAAGGTTGACAGCACGCTCGTGGTCGTGTACGTGACTGGGTGAGATGAATTAGTATAACCATCCAACACGACAAAAAGACCATGTGGGGAGGGGAGAGAAAACCCCAGATGAGAGACTTACTTGTGTTGGTAGGGTCAATGGTGCTGCACTGCTCAATTTCGGTCACTGACACGATGATCTCAATGCCGATGCACTGTGATCGAGGGATCGAGGGCGTGACGTAGGGAGGAGCACTCCAGGCTCTTTTCGATGTCGTTACCGTCACTGAGGAGGCCGTGGTTGTCGTAGGTCTCGGGCTTGTCGACGAGGTGGTCGTGTTTGAGTAGAGCTTGGATGTGGTGGTCAGGACAGATGTTGTGAACGTCGTGGTCGTGCTTGACGATGACGTCGAGGTCTATACAAAGGTCAGTCAACGAACATTGGCCGGGGGCAAATATCCTTTCTCATACCGTGGTAGAAGTAGTTGAGCTGCTGGTAGTTGTAACGGAACCACAAGTACCATCTCCATTAGCAATGCCGCTTTCACACTTGCAGCTCTTGGAACAACCATCACCGTCCGCAGTGTTGCCGTCGTCGCACTCTTCGCCGAGAGAGGGATCAAACTTCCCGTCACCGCAGCCGGCTGGTGTTGCGCCACGGCTTAGAATGTAAGGCAGCCCTGAATGGCCATCACCATAGTTCTGGGTGCCGGTGGTAATGACGCCGTCTGCAATTGCCAGGGCTTGAAACCCATTCTGTCCAACAGATGGATACGACGAGAACGCTTCGTGAGTGCTGAAGGACCAGTTTGACAGATCCTCGTCGGTAAGAGTGTCGATTGCGGGAGACGAAGCCACAATATGAATATCATTGTACCCTCCCGCACCATTGTTGTCTTGGCCAAACACCTTGAAGTCACCGAAATAGGACAGTGCTGGTACAGGAGTATCGAGCGCTGCGGTGTTATAGTACTGTGACAAGGAGAGATAGAATCCGGTCTGGGAGGAGCCCGATGGAGAGACACCAGCGGCTGCAAATTTGATACTGTTGTCAATGAGCACAGAGGCCCCAGCGACGCCCCAATTGTCGTGGTTGGATTGATCAGCACCTGTACTATGTCAGCGGTGTAGGATGCCTCAGGACCGCGTGACTTTACCGTGGATAATGACATTGCCAGTGACAGCAGGACCCCAGATGGTGTTTGTGTCTTCCAGGACCTGAATCAGACTCACATCGCCAGAGCCGAAAGGATCACCGATGATGATTGCTTTGAAGGCCGCAAAGTCAGATGTCTTCATGGCACGCCATTCTGTTTCTGTGACCACTTTAGTAGTGAACCCGAGGGCAACAGCATGCTCTTCCTCGTTCCCGACAAGCTCGTCTAAGAAGAGGAGATCTTCAGCGATGACGGAACCAAAGACCGCGAAGCCGGCTGCAACTGTAGAGAAGCGCATGATTGTTGGAAAGGAAAAGCAAAGAAATCGACGATATCCTCTGGACTTGGTAACGAGTGTCTGCAGTTGGAGGAAACGAATGACTGGGACGAAAAGAGTGAAAGAGAGGTACCGACTGACACCAAAAAGATTGAGGGTTGTGATGACTCGCCTTTTATTGAGAAGACACCTGGTCCGAGCGACAACCAGAGAAGAGGCTGCAATGCCTCATTTTCAGGAGTAACATGGTAATTATCGAATGGAAACCGACGTTGCTATACCCAAGGACGCCACAGAATTCCAGACGCAGGGGGATGCAAACAGACAGGCAAGACAAAAACAGAAAACCTCAGCGCTCTCCTGAGATTCTCGTATAGACAATTGACAGATTCTGTGATGGCTGATGGCTGACAGACAACACGAAGGTCCAGCCGTCTTGATTTTTGAGATGTTGTACCACCAACCGGCCAAAATGGAAACTGTGGCGTCCCGTCCAGGCTGATTCCAGCCTTACAGCCTTGTTTGACAGCCTGCAGTCGGTAAGACACTAATCTCCCTTGCAGTCCGATATACGAGTTTCGGCCCCGTGCCTGAGCTGCCATGAGCGCCAAAATACTGGCAAATGAGGCGCATCCTCCAGATCGGCCATGTTTCTATGGGAACTCAAATTTTCTGTCTCGAGTCTTGGCTGGCGTCAGGAGTCAGTTGCCAACCTTACCACCGACTATTTTCGGAGGAGGTATTGCGTGGTGGCAGTCTGTGACAGGGTGGCAGGGCAATCGAATGCAGCCTTCTGAGAAGTGACAGGCGTGGAGATTTTATGAGTTTGGGAATTGGACGAACAAAGAGCGATGCATCTCGTATCGAAGCGCTCGCGAGTAGGGCCAAGAGGACGTTACTTCAGCAGAGAAAGGAGCCTTGCGCAATTTGACGCCTGGCTTTGGCTATCCGGAGAGATTCGAGGTCCTGGTGAGCAGCTGGTTGGCTACAGAAACAACAACGAGGCTGGACGATGCTTTGAAAAGGGGACATCGACGGCAATCGTTTACGGAAATTGCGCTAGCCTGATATGGAAATATCGCTCTTGGCAACTTATTTGGGACAAGCTGAAGCAGCCAGCAAACTTCCATGTCATCGTGTAGGAAGATACAGATGACACAGGGTTCCAGAAGACGGTTCCCACATGTTGGTCACCGAGACTATCCTCGACGCGGGCCTGCACAGTTCAATATGTGGGACACTATTCGCTGGTTAAAAAGCCCTACTCGCCCCAAAGATGACATTTCCGACAAGTTCAATGCCTTTCTCCACGGCATCTGCCATCGATAGATGAAATACTGGGCGATTGGACCTGCAGCCTGCACGTTTCCAAGATTCATACCCTGGCTGAGGCCCTGCATGGTGGGGATTAGCTCTTGCTATGACTGGGAGCGGAGAGTAACGGCATACATTCACTCGTCAACGATGACCCTAAGACCAACAAGTCTCTGTCGTCGGTCGCGCTGTTCGAGACTGTGAGACACACCTGGACGGCGTGGAAGGAGTCTAGCATGACATCGAGACCCACCTCAGAAAGTGAGATTGGCCTTGCTCACACGAGCCAGCCTCGCCGCGAAATCACCATGTTGTGGCTTGCGTCCATGGCGAACACTCTGTTCCCGCCTGGGAAGATATCGACTCTGATCTCCTCTGTTTACGCGCCGAGGGAGTTCGTGGTTGCCAGTGTTGCCCACCGTCCTGTGGATTGGTTATCGCTCACAGGGCTGTCTGCCCTCAATCGGATTGGAAACCTATGTCTGTCCATTCCCGGTGTTTGTGCGCAGAGTGTAAGACAAAGCAAGGAGGATGCTAGAGCAAGAGGTCTACTTGATCGGAGACGAGCAATCAGCACTGAGAAAGGGGAGATAAGAGGTGAATAGAATAGGCAGGAAAGTGGAATGTAACAGCAGCTCGTTGACCGCGTCCTACGTTGCCCTGGTCCCACCATATCCATGGTCTTCTCCATCCACCTGTATTCCGCATTGGAGCCTTCGGAAGAGACAAGAGTAGTAGTCGTCATCCCCAGCGATGACCTTGGCGTCCTGGATACAGCCAACCCGTCTTTCTCACCAATCGACACATGTATTGTCCATCCAGCCCAATGACTTCTTCACCACTTACGTCACCTGAGTTTGATTCAAAGTAGCTCACGTCGAATTCACCCTGGTGGACACATCAATGCCTCTCGTGGCGATGTGTGGCGTGGAAGTAATCCTCGCTACCGCTGTTGTAACAGATGAACAGGCCCTGCAAGTTTCCCTCATATACCATTCCACAACCTCGAGCAGGTCCCCCACGATATCTCTCCGGCAGAAGAGGCAGGGACTGGCAGGGCTTGCGTTACACTCTGTGCGCTCCAGTACCGTACTCCAGGGTTCCCTGATGCAGAGACTCTGAACATCGAGCATCGCCCGAGAGATTGATTTCTTGTATGCCCAGTCTTCGCCGGGTTTAATGCCTTTCTTAGCTAAATAAAACATGATAGCGCTGTATTTCGCAAATGAACAGCTCCGGGTCTCCATCGCTGACGCATCAACTGCACCTGCATCTAAATCTCTGCCAACGCACTCCAAGATATCATCGAAGAACTGCTGTGATGGCAGCATGGTTTCCTTTCCAAACCTATCTGGAGGACGGATTCATCAGAGACATGCCTTAGCTGCCAAAGGACTGTGATACATACCTTTAAAACTGTGTACCCGAATCCAAGAGCTGACTCGGCGAATGAAGGTAATGTTGGGGAGGTGGAACGTCGACCCTGTAGGAGCAAGAAATGCTTCGTCGCGAACCAGAACAAATCGTTCAATTTGAAGACGGCGGCAACACTCATGCACTGTTCCATTGTTAGCTCGAGTGAATCGTCTTCAGGAGAAATCCAGTTGTGATTGATTGGTGTCATGTTGCGTTCGTAGCCCTTGAATTCTTCTATTATACCAGCAAGCCTTGCGGAAAGCCACGGCCTCAGTGCTTTCACACAGAATCGCGCATCTGCAAATTCTACTAGCTTCACGAGCCTCGAGCCGTCACAATGATCGACACTCTCAGCTTTATGGTGAGCAATGTTGCAGAAGTCGAGGACAGCCTCTGGATCGTCTTCGCGCAATTCGATTTCTCTCGACCTTCCCTCTGTGAATGATGACGAGAGCATACGAGAGAAGACTCCTGACGCAAGACTGATTACTGTCCCCGAGACTCGTATTTTGAGGGCATCGTCCCCTCGGCCAACAGTGAGCAGGACATCTCCATCCTGGACGACCTCAACGAGCTTCGCGGGGCGCTTTGTGGGTGCTTCGTCGACTTGCGGACTCCCGGGACGTTTGCGGCTGGCGCTCATGTTGAAATTGAATCAAGAAGATCTGGGGGCCTGTCCCTGTCGCGTTGATCTGCGGTTATTTGGTGAGTTCTGAGTCTCAATGTTATCGCCTACTGTCAGCGTGGGTGGCAGAAAAGGAGGGTGGGTGGGAAGAAGAACTGAGCAGTTGTTGCAGTTGAAACTTAGAAGTGTGTGAAAAGAGAGAGACCTTCACAATTAGAACTGAGATTCGAGTGAGGTATCTATCAGGACTCCGAGGATGTGAAGAAATTCACAGGATAGAGTGAATGTGCCGAAGGTGAATTTGTAGTCCGTACTATAGCCGGGCAGGTGAGCGCGGAAGTGTAACAGAGAAGAACCATAATCTCCCTCAGGTGGGCTCAGGTGCTTATAACTCAGTAGTTGGTCTACACGTTCCAATTTAGACCTCAAAGTTCGGACCGATGAGCTGGCGATTGAAGCTGAGAGAGAAATTGTATCCATGGAGCTGGCCACGGCAGGTGCTCGTCCAAGCAGAGTTTCAAGTGCAGTACCATTGCTCACAATGGGAGCGGTGTCAAGAAGAAACCTGGCTCCATGAGATAAGGAGATCAGTTGCTCGTAGTGGGCGAAGCGATCAAATCAAAAGAAGACTGCGAGGGTCTCTCAGCCTCGCTCAGGTGACTGAGAAGTACCATTAGAGTTGGCATCTTCACGTGCACTTCTCTTGTAGGAGGAGGTGCTCAACTGCAACGCTGCAGCAGCGACCTTCCAGGGAACAGAGACTGCTGCGTCCAAACCACTGAAGTCGGCCCATTTGCGCATCTACAACCCCTGAAAAGGTGGTGGACACAATCATAACTCATGTGGACGTCTGCTTTGCGCCTCTTCGCCCTGCTTCATCAGCACCGGCACCCCAATCCATTCGACGTTATGCAGAGCATTGATGTTGGCGGTCTTAATGGGATGTGAACAGAGGGATGTTCTAGCTCAAGGGTCATGGAAAAGATTGCACAAGTCAAGGAAACAAGTCTGGTTTTGGCACAGGGCATCAGTCAAGAAGTGAAGAAGGTCTTGCCATCCAGACGGAAGAGACAAGTCACAAAAGAAAACCAAGATGGGAAATTTGACTCGAGAGAAGGACAATAAGAAAACCACGTCAACTTCACCTCGACTCCAGCTAGAACCATTTCTTCTTTTCTCCCCAATATAACATCCTTCACCAACGCCGTGTGCCTGTCATTCCGTCGGGAAGATACCGCCACATTGACATCAATCACTTGCGACATCCTGGGATCGCCTTTCTGCTCTCAAGATTCAAGCTTCAAGCCTCGAGCCTCGCCCTCTTATCGCCACCATGTTCTTCTACTCCTCCATAACCCGTGCCTTCATAGCCCGTGTCAACTTTGTCATATCCACTCTCAAAGTTGCGTTCTGTCAACTTCTGACCTTCCACGTTGAAACTCTCCGACTCTCCCATGTCGGCGTTAAACATGTCCTCTTTCTCCCGCATAGGCCCTTTGCCCTTTGTGTCCACGCCCCTGCTGACCACATTGTACGCCCTTCTTCTCCGATGCCGTCTCCAGCACAGACATCCACCGGTCAAGAGGGCGAGGAGGACGATGGCGCCGACGACAGCAATTATAATGATGTACTTTGTGGCAAGACCGTGGCTGCTGCTGGATGACGCCGATGCAGATGGAGATGGAGAATTGTCAGAATTGAGCCCGGCGTTGCTCAATTTCTCGGCCGCATGGGTGATCTTTGCCGGATAGCGAGTCGATGTGGTGGTAGGCAGGCCAAGCACGGAGCTGACGGCATCGTCGCCGACCCCTGCTTGGGCCAACTTGCCCAGAGCGTGGGTAATCTTTGGGTTGTTCACGCCTGAGGTCGCTGTCGCCTGATGATCAGTCACCAAGTTAGGCACTGCACTTTTCGCGCCTCGGATGCCCAAGAGTAGGACGTCTGGAAGGTAGTCCATGTTTGAATATTATTTTCGAAGAAGAGGCAGGGCCAACTAGGGGCAATCAAAGGGTTCAATTAACAGGTGGATTGATCAACGAAGGAGTGACTCGGTTCGAAAGGAAAAAGATGGAAACGAAAGGGGACTTTGCCAGCGAAACCCAGGGCACCAACGCTTCGCAAAAGGGAATTCCAAAGATCGTCGCGAGAGCAGCAAAGGGACGGTATATCAGGGAGACATGTGGCGGCTCACGCACAGACCGTAAGAGCGTTTGCCAGGCACGGGGGAGCTGAGCATAAGCACTTGTTCAAAAAGCTTCAGCACCTCAGACACGGCGTTATTGGCCGTCAGGGTCTTGTAAGCAGAGAGTGCCTGATATAGTATCAGAACCAGATTGCGCAGGATGTGCCAGGCGCAGGATTGGGCAATTTCGTGGACCTCAGCCCCCGACCCGATGTCAGCTTTGCCATCGAGGCCATTCAGCTCAAACCGCCCCCAGAGCGAACCGGTTCACCAAGCTTTGCACAAGCCTCAACGCTCGGCAGAGCTTGACCCAATCTGGTAAACGACAGTACGATCCTTTTACCCTGAATGGGGAATCATGGTTTAGCTGAGCACATGCTAAATAGGTGACAACTTAACTCCTTGCTATTGGAAGGAAGGAGACAAACCTCAAGGATACGGAGGCCGAGATTAAAGCCTCAAGCTAGGTACGTATTTGTCCATGTACTTGTACCCAATTGCGCAAAATGATCGTGAATCAGGGAGACCAGTATCACGTGATCTTCCTGACTCGCGCAGATGAACCCTGAGAATGTTGTCACTGTTGTTCTGCACATGTGAAAGCGTGCATCGTAGTCACGGCAGTCTAACAGCTGCACTCTGACTAGATGGCTCGTGGCACTGGGAAACGTGCAAACAAGACTCCCGCGAACTCGACCGTCCACACAAAGCCAGCTGCGAGCTCGACATCTGGCCCTCCGACTCCTTTCCAATACGCCCCAATTTCACTCAGACCCTTCCTTTCGACCCTTCCCACGGACCACATATACCTCGTGCACCTAGATCAAACGTCGCCGAATCTCAAGAAACGTGTATTCATTGTCCCTGTCCTCCTCAATCTTCTCATCACCATCGGACTCTGTGTTCGCTTTTACTATGCTGTTCCCGTCTACCTCGAACAAATCATCACGATTTTCGGCTATGACACTGCATATAAAATCGACACGAAGACTGCAGGAGCGGGAGAACTCTTCAACGCTGTCACTTCACGAACGGCCTTACTCATGCTCGACTACGTTATATTCGGTTTGATTGGAAGCTGGCCCAAGGAATTTGTCTTTGGCAGCAGACTGTTGAGGTTCGTTGGTCCGTGGGAATGGAGGAGAACAATAGGTTTCAGAGATACGGAGATAATTGTTCGCAGAGGAAGGAATTGGGATACACCGTTGCTCGTCGGGGACACTCCAGATGAAGGAAAGAAGTGGAATCTGGATGACGAATTGACCATCAAAGTCAAAGTCGACCCGGCCATGCGCACCGCAACTCTTGCAAAAACTGGATATCTACTCCTTGATAAGGATTGGGATCTCGACTTCAAGGCGATGCTGGACGCGCATAGGCTAGTGGAAAAGGGTGTGATTCAACTGGGAGACCTTGAGAACATTGCTCTTGTATATTATGAGAAGCAATGGTTGGTTTGGAAAGTCCACGAGCAGTCAGACGTTATTGCCAATGGACAGCAGCAGGACAGCACTGTCGAAAGATTCAGACGCATTCTTGCAGATCTCGGCGCCGAAGCAGTCTTCTTCCGCTGGATCGAGATCGTCCAGTTTGAGACCTCGCAACCTGGCGGGTTCACTCAAGGACGACAGGCTGAGGCGATCCGCGAACTAAGGACTCGCCTGGAAAAGAAGGGGGTGGATTACGCCAAGTTCTGGGAAGATATCGGTGGACAAGCTGGTCTTCCTGGTCTTGACGAGCAAAATCAATAATGATCTACGACATGACTGACGTTCAACCACCCTACTAGTGCCCTACATTGCACTTGTTCATGTAAGATGTTAGAGCACGTGCCTATTCCACTTGACAAGGCTGTTGTGCAGCCTTGTCTTCTGCACATCACCCCGTCCCTGACACTCTACCCCGCATCCGATTGATTCCAGCAGAGAAAATATTCCACGCCCAATTCTCTGTCAATTCGCAAATCGCTTTCACCTCCTCAGATTTCCTAAACATGTCGTCACCCAGCATCTATCTCGCCGTTATCGGCGTCGGCGGTGTCGGCACCTGTTTCTTGTCCCAGATTTCCTCGCTACCTTCTCGCCTGCGCCCCTCACTGATCTTTCTCTCCCGCTCCTCGAAACAACTCTACAACACGTCTTACTCCCCCGTCTCTCCCTCCGACTTACAATCCTCTTCCTCCAAACTCCTCTCTGTCCCCGATGAACTGGTCAAATATCTCTCGTCGGCTCCGGGCAAGGTTATACTTGTCGACAACACCTCGTCTCAAGACGTTGCAAACGCATACCCATCGTTCCTGCAAAAAGGGATAAGCGTCGTGACGCCGAACAAGAAGGCCTTTTCCGGCAGCCTGCAGCTCTGGAACGACATCTTCTCCGCGGTCGATCAGGCAAATGGAAAGGCCATGGTATACCATGAATCCAGCGTGGGTGCCGGCCTTCCCGTGATATCCACCTTGAAAGATCTGGTCGCGACGGGCGACCAAGTCACACGCATCGAAGGTGTGTTTTCAGGAACCATGTCGTTCCTGTTCAACTCCTTTGCCCCCGTCGACGGATCTGGCGACGGAAAATGGTCAGACATCGTAAAACAGGCGAAAGAGGCGGGCTACACGGAACCAGATCCAAGAGACGACCTCAATGGCATGGACGTCGCGAGGAAGCTCACCATTCTCGCACGCTTGGCCGGGTTGAAAGTTCAGGGCCCAGACGCTTTCCCCGTCCAGAGTCTAATTCCGAAAGAGCTCGAGTCGGCGAAATCGAGCGACGAGTTCATGGCCCGTCTGCCGGAATTCGACGAGCAGATGGAATCGTACAAGGCCCAAGCCGCCGCCCAGAACAAGGTTGTGCGATACGTCGGGTCGGTGGACGTTGGCAAAGGCGAGGTCAAAGTGGGGTTGGAAATGGTCGAGAAGGGTTCCCCGATCGCTGGCTTGAAGGGCAGTGACAACTTGATCTGCTTCTATACCAAGCGATATGGTGCGAATCCGCTGGTCATCCAAGGAGCGGGTGCCGGCGGCGAAGTCACCGCGATGGGTGTCACAGCAGACCTGATCAAGGTGGTCGAGCGGCTGGGATAGATAGACAAAGACACTGCTCCTTCCGACAAGGCATAGGAGCCGCCAAAAAAATAAATACAAAAAAGTTCTTGCCTGCAAGATCCCTCCGTCTAGCTATCAATCTCCGTCCCAAATCCTGCCAACCTTGTAGATATGTACCCAAGATCGATGGATAGACGTGTCTCGAGGGAACTCATTTATTCGATGTGGCACTTAAACCAAAACAAAAACATATATTGACATGAACCTCGTGAGATAGATCGGCGTATTTACGTGAAGACAGTGCTCCCCTTCTTCGATGTCTGCAACTTCCATTCCGTCGAACCTCGAGCCTATCAGCTTCTGAGGTACTTCTTGACGGCCTCCCCCCACACGACGCCGCGTTTGTAAAAGTGCATGGCGGGCACGCTACCCTCCTTCAGCCCATCAATGGCCTGAGCGAGTTCCTCGCCCGATCCTTCTTCCTTCACCTGGGCGATCGGATATAGATACGTCTTGAAGGCGAACACCAGAGCCTTACTCTTCGGTAGCCTGTGGAGTGTCTGCCTCTCACACCTCACAAATGTCTTGTCGACGTCGATTTCCTCGAGTTCCTCGACCTCATCACCCTCGTGGGCGTGGTTGGTGCCGCGCCCAGCCGCATAAAGTTCCGTGTTCGTGGTAACGGACCAGTTGACCCGGCGGACGTATTTGCCCACTTCAAGCCGGGAGAAGAATCGATCCATTGATGCTTCTAGTTTTTGGGGGTAGCCAGGCACAGGGTCGTGGATCTTGGCGAGTCGATTACCAAGTTTCTCGCGGGGGTCGAAGCCGCTGGGACAGCAACAGACGTAGGCTTCGAGAACATATTTCGTGTCTTCTTCTTTGCTTTCGTTATCCGCCTCCTTCTTATCCATGCTCGGATCCCCTTCTTCGGGGAGCAGGAAGAGAAAGTCTTCGTCCAGGGTTCGTCCGAGAGTCTCGAGAAGCATTTTGGTCGATGTGCGAGGTGACGGTTTCGCGGGAAACAGTGCTTTCGTCACCAAGTTTTCCAGCATAAACGTCTTGCCCTCCTCATAGTCGGTTTCGTGTAGTTTGAACATCCTGGGGAAGCGCAGTGGCAGATAGGTGCCAAAAAGAAACTGGTAGAGTTCCACCACGGCGGGACGAATGCGATAGTCGTCATTTACAGCAACGACGTGCTCACCGTGCTCGGCTATGATTTTACGACGGTAGGCGACCCGGTCTGCGTAGTTCCTGTCCATCACTAGTAACTCCGAGGGTGGGAGGTTCTCAAGTGCTGACTCGTCAGATTCGGCTCGTGTAGAGTCAGCCTCTTCTTGTAGGTAATGCGACAAGAGAGTTCAAGTAGGCTAACGAAGGGAACAGTGGCGGATCGAACGAGAACTCACCCATGGTCAAATGGTATTTCGGTTTGAAAGGTCGGATACGAAGAGGTTCCGTGGTTTCCCAGTCGAACTCCGGTTGTTCTTCCACTGGGGGGAACTCTGGGGCTTTGAGATAACGATTCTCAAACCCGATCTTCTTTGCCGCTTTCTGGAGGAGAGGTCAACGATGTCCGCGAAGCGAATAGCTGGGAAGGTCCTGAGTGGCAAGGCTGACACAACTCACATTCTTGACTCTCACTTGGTTTAAAGCCAAGACAAGGAAGAGAGCCAGGAGAATGATGTTGGCATAATTGCTCAACGTGAACAATGAGGCGGCTTTGAAATCCTCCCAGCTCCTCCAGTGCCATACGAAGGACGGCTTCTCGATGTTTTGGAAACTGCTCATCGTGGGCGGGAATGTGCGTTCCTATTGATTGTCGATTGACTCGGATCCGTCGTGATGACCTGCAGATGACACCCAGATGACCTTTTGATGTCGTGTGACTCGGGACCAAAGGTAAGAGACTGACTACACAGTACTCTCAGTCTGGCACATATAGATACCATAGAAGATCCTTACATGTCTCTCTTGCAACAAACAAGTACATGCGCCCAATGACATTACTACCAAGTCAAGTCATTGCATATAGGCGTAGTCCGTTGTGTCCATTCAGCCACAGTAACCGAATCGGGACAAATCTTCCGAGACTCGATGGAAAGATCAACCGAGGACGGATTCGCTGACTAAGAATTCCATCCATTCACACGACATGCTGCCTGACTGACGCGGTGTGGATTAACGGTTTCGCCCAATGCCATCTGCGACTCTCTCTTCCCCAGATAGATCTGCCCGGAACTAGAGAAGTTGCAGAGGTGGTGGTGAAGGGGGAGACTATGGCGCTACAGGTCTATATTTCTCATACCGGCGGCCTTCTCACCTTCAACGACCCCGTGGCCCGTGTCGACAACCTGCGGTCATGGATCGAAGCCAACACTGCTATTCCGGCCTCACGCCAGATCTTGATGACGGCTCGAGGCAAGATTGTCAAGAATCTCAACAACGAACAGGAGGTCTACGTCTATGACAAGCAGTTTCTCTCCCCAGACTCCAAACCTCCCTCTCGAGATGATGTCCGACTCAAACCACTCTCCGATCCCCCTTCCTTTCTCACCGACGAGACCAGCCTCAAAGCATGGCACGAGTTGTTCAACTCTCGGCGCACCTGGGCTCTGGACACATTTGAAATTGCCAGAACAGGGGTGGAGAACATTGAAATTTGTGCAGAGGAGGCATCCGTCATCGCTCGGTCCATGAAGGTCGCTCTGGACAACCTGCGAAACCATGTTACGACGCTACAGCAGAGGTTCGAGGAGACAAACCAGTGGGCTCAGGGATATATACAAGAACATCGAGAGATCCTCAAGGATTGGCAAGCGAGTGTAGATACACTTGCAGAACTTCCCGTCCGCGAAGATGTTGTCAGGGTGTTGCGGCGTCCGGCTGAGCCAGATGGCAAGGACCCGTCGGCACCTGTTGGGACTCTTTTCGATCTGGTGGACCGAGATAACCTGCAGGCTGCGGCGGAGAGTGTCGAAAAAAGCTCGGCAGATTTTGAGAGGAGGCTGCGCGAACTGCAGTCGGGCATGGAGAAATTGAAGCAGGAGACAAGTCAGGCTCAGGCCCGCTCAACACAAGTGCCAGATTTCGACACCAATGCTCTGCTGGATGAGGCTGAGACACTGGCGAAGCGGATCAGTTCGGACTATGAAGACGTCGTACAGATGCAAGACAATCAGAAATCCGTGGTTGCAGCGTCAAGGAAAGCTGCTGTGCATACTCGTGAATTGTTGCCTGCCATGCACGGCGTCGTGGAAGAGATTATCCAGGCTTCCTTGAGTGCCTCTGAAACACGAAACACTGCGTCTAATGACTGGTATTCCACACTTCAGACTATCTCGGGTATTCAATCTCGCCTTGCAGAACTACAATCCGAAATCACCAACCTGGACTTCCACGACAACGACAACTTTGCTGCTCTCAACCGGGTTTTCCAATTACCGCTTGTCTATGGCGCTACACTTGTGGAAGCAACTCGTAGATCCGAGTGGACTGAGCGGATGCGGGCAGAGGTCGATGTTCTGCATGAAGATCTCTCTCTACAGACTGAGGAGGAGCAAAGACGGCGAAAGAAATGGACCGCTTCCCACAGCGACTTTCTAAATGAGGATATGAATGCCAAAGATGCACTGATCGATCTGAAAGCAACAGCACCTCGAAATTCCTGGCCGTTTGTAAGCAGGGACGAAATATTCGCTTGGGTTGACGATCTGAGAGCTCTCGGTATCAACGACGCAGTACAATCAGTCATGCAACGAATGAAAGATTTAGATGCTCCTGTCCGGAAGCAGAAAACGAAGCCTTTCAAGAATGGGAGTATTCATGACCTTAGCCAAAGTGCTGCTCTCCGCAGCGGAGATGAAGTGAGAGGTCTCCAGGAGGAGAAAGTAAGACTCGAGGAAAAGCTTCGCGCATCAGATAGCCGTGTGCGGAAGTTGGAAGATCTCCTCCATCGTCAAAGCCAGCTCAGTCGGCCTGCTAGTGGAATTTTCCAACCTGGCAGCGCTGCGGACTTTGAACGACAACAGACGCCTTCTCCAAGTGCGCTACAAAGGCATAGCGACCTGTCTCGGAGGTCATCTGTTTCGCTCAGAAGACTCTCCAATAACCAGGACGAGAAGTCTTTAGTGCAGAAGATCGTTGCGTTAGAAGGTCAGATCCAAAAGTTACAGGAAGAGGCTCACGCAGAACGGCGTTCAAGTACTGAGAGTAGAGACAAGATGCAGGAAGCGGAATTGGTGAAGCGAGACCTAATGGCTAATTTCGAAGCGCAGAAACAAGAATTCGAGGAGGAGCGACAATTGCTGGATGACGAAGTACACCGTCTCAAAGTTAAACTGGAAGAGGCTGAGGAGGAGCTTGATCGTCTCAATGACTCGAGAGATCATTTGCGCTCCGAACAGGATCAGACTATGATTAACCTGCGGAACGAGTTGGAACAGCTCAAGAAAACCTCTGCGGAGGATCTTGCGCTGGCAGATCGCAGAGTCGAGTCTGCACGAAAGGAGGCGGCTGCGCACCGAGAGCGAGCTGCAACGCTCGATCGCCAACTTCACCAACTCAAGGAAGAACGAGCATCCGCCCAATCCCAGAGTATGACTCTAGCGAACCAACTTCGCTCGATGGAAGATCAACAACAGGAATACATCTCGATCCTGCAGAGCGCACATTCGAACCTATCACCGGCAGGTTCTCCTCCAGATGATCTTCACCGTCTCGTCAATGCTCTGGAAATTCTGTCCGAAGGTGCCGCAATCCATGCTCGAGGTCTCGACGATTCTCTCCAGCTTGCTACCGCGGAGAACAAATCGCTTGAGGAGAAATTGGCCAGTGCAGAAAGTGAGATCAAAACTCTCACAAAGAAACTGTCCACGATGGAACAGCGTGCGAATGAGTTAAGGGAAGACATCGAACAAGAACGTAGCAAGATCTCTGTGCTGAAGACTGAACTTGCGGGCGAACGCGCGGAGATGGATTCTTTGCGCGAGAAGTTTGCCGCTGGGGAGACTGGTTCTGATACCCTCCGGCAGCAGCTGAAATCTGAAGAGATGAAAGTCGCGGAATTGATGGACCGGAAAGCCGAGGATGAAGGTGTCATTCAACGCTTGAAACATGAGATTGAAGATCTTAGTCAGGAAGCTGCCAACGCGGCAGAGAAACAAGAGAAACTGCGCAGACACTTTGATAAGAGGGGTGAAAGGGCGAAACAACTTTCCGAGAGATTATTCCACCACCACGATCGAATCATTCGCATGCTCGAGCAATTTGGCTACTATGTTTCCCGACAGGAAGACACGCTGGTAATTCAGCGCGCAAGTAAAGTTAATGCTAGCGCCGTGCTCAGTGGCAACGAAGGGTCAGGGCCAGGCACTGCTATGAAGCGAACCATTTCCGGTTCCACGCCAGCACAACACTACTCCGACCCGTCGGACCTGGACACCCTGTATTGGACGTCCGACAATGACCTCACCTCTGAATCGACAAAATACTCTGGCTTCCTCTCCGCCCTGTCGAGATTGGATATGGACAGCACGATCGACCTGATCACAAAGCGCTACAAGGACGTCGAAACGCTGGCGAAGAAATACCAGAAGGATTCTCGTGCCTACCGAGAACGAAATCACCGGTCTCAGGCCGAGGCGCACGATAAAATCGCATACAGGAGCTTCAAGGAAGGAGACTTGGCCTTGTTTTTACCGACGAGGAATCAAGCAACAAGACCCTGGGCGGCATTCAACGTTGGGGCACCACATTACTTCTTGAGAGAGCAGGATGCACATAAATTACAATCGAGAGACTGGCTGCTTGCACGAATCACGAAGATAGAAGAGAGAGTGGTGGATCTGAGTAGGAGCATGCGTGGTAACACCTCGTCTTCAACCGTGGGTATAGCGAGCTCGATCGTGGATGATGGTGGGTCGACCCGGAGTGTTGACGATGAGAATCCCTTCGAGTTGTCAGACGGGCTGCGGTGGTATATGATTGATGCCCAAGAAGAGAAATTGGGCGCGCCTGGCACACCTTCCGTGGGAAAGTCAACCGTGACAGCGAGCAATGTCGAGGTCAAAGGACATATGGGGCTGGGCAGGAAGGAGCACAAGTCAAGTATGGGCATGGGTGGCGGCGGCAGCGCCACGACGACGATGGTCACCAAGACGCTGACCAAGAGCTTGGACAGTCGGCGGTCGAGCTCAGGGAGTAAAAAGAGCGTGGATCTCAAGGGCAAGCTTCAGGACCGGAGCACCGCTAAGGACGGGATGCCTTCATCGAAGCTTACACCATTGGCGCCCATTTCAAGCGACACGGACGTCGAGCAAAGGCGGGCGCCTCCACACGATGCAAGCGCCAGAACTGTGCCCATCCCGGATGATGACGCCCACGCGGATGCAGACGCAGAAAACGAGAATGACGAGCCTGAAGGGCGGAATTTGGCAGGCTCAAGTCAGCACCAAGGCCCGGGCCAGGGTCAGGCGGGGAATGCGAGTGTCCCCAGCATCGTGCGCCGTCCCACTGAAGCGAGTCAGACGGATCGGGAGGATGCACAGGTTTTTGAAGTGGTGAGGCGAGATCTTCTTCTCGGCCCATAAGCCAGAGGAAAAGTTGTAGCAACTGATGAGAAAAACAGAGTGGTGACCACCCTCCTGGGTCTGAGCTTGCGGGCCCGGCCGCGATAGCAAGACATCCTCAAGGCCTTGCAGCTGGCTACGCTGCCCTCAGAGCGATGCAGAATGAGCCGCCTCTGGCGGCGCAACGACTGAACAAGAGACCGACATATTCAGCCCCGAGTCCGAGAAGCACATCACAATCCCCCTATAAAGCGAGGAACCAGAACGTAACGACGCCAACAGCAAGTCCAGCGAGGAATCCTGCAGGTGTTGCAGGAGCTGAGACTGCTTCGACTCCGTCACCTCCGGCAAAGCCGAGGGAGAGACCTTGGGACAAATTGTTCAGCATGGAGTTTCGGTCGTAGTTATGGAGACACGTCTATGGCGATGGCTGTGGCAAGAAAACTATGTAGAATGTATCGCGATGGGGGCTGATGCAGACTGTAACTTTGGGGGAATGGTTGTCGTGGTTCTGCAGCATTTTGACAATCGTAGCCGTGACCACGGGAGAGATTGACGCCTATAGGAAGCAAAATCAAAAGCTCTATTTTGAACATGGCAGTTGGGAACGTGGCTTGTCCGTTGTCATTCATTTAAGAGGCTCTTCCTCCACCGAATTGAGAGAGTTGCATGCCTTCACTAGAACATCCTTGTTTATACCTCGTACTTGGTGGTCTGTGTGTTGCGCAGCTGAAATACATCACGTGATCACACGTGACAATATCACTGACGCAGCTCGTGCGTGCTCATGATCCTGCAGGACAGACGAGGCAGAGGTCGCCGGTTATTCGTTCTACCCGTCTCGCACATCGCACATCGCACATCGAGCATCACACGTGACGGCAAGATTTTGTGGCCCGGGCCACAGGCGGGCAGGGTAGGCAGGCGGGCGGGCGAGCCATCCCTCCATCCATCCCTCCACCTGCCATCCACCATGCATGCATGTACGAGGTATGCTTTTTCGTCAACAAGACAATAATTTGCAGCCCTAGCATGTCTCGTGTCTGGGTAATTTCGTGAGAGGACAAGGAGGTACCTGTGGACCGGACTGGAAACAAGGTTTTTTTTTTTAACTCGTACCTACAGCTACTAGGTATCGAGGTTTGTATGTATGTACTCGGTACAGGGAGGCAGACGGGACAAGTAATACCAAGGTCCAAGGTCCAAGTAACCAGGTACCGAGCGAGCAGGCAGCGAGTGCAAAGGCAAGTAGCTTTTTCTTCACGAGTTTATTTTCCTGTGCTGTGCTGTGTTGGGTTGGGGGGCCTTGCCTTCTCGTAGGGTGCTGGGCATGGGTGCTGGGCATTAAACTCCGCGGTAGTGGTAGCGGGAAGAGTTCAAGGTCCGTCAATCCGTATGTGGACCGTGGACCGTGGCGTGAAGAATGCTGTAGCGTCACGTTGGAAATAAAATGCGCGCACCAGAAACACCTAAAACCTACCTAAATAAATGCTTGAGAGGTGCTGGTGTGCCAAGATACCTTTGCAGCAAGGTCCGTAGCCTCGATAGGTACAAGCACCACAAGTACGGGTAGGAAGACTCTCCCTGCCGCTGCATCCTCGGATACAGCAAACATCCAGAGTCTGTCTACTCGGTAACCTTCATTTCCCATCCTTGGTGACCTTCAATTACACCATGGGAAAGCCAGAAAGTTTATGTCCAGAAATGCAACCACGGCTTGAGTCTGGTGTGGTGGTGGTGGGTACGAGACGGAATTGAAACCCATCTGCTGAGGAATAATAATGAAGCAGTAACAAGGGGGCTGGGATACCAAGATATTGGCGGCAAGTGAGCAGAAGGAAGGGGAGATGAGTTCCACGAGCAAAACACCTGATGTATCCCAAGCGGCAAGAGTTGGTGTCCGAAAGTGGATGTTGTTATGATCTGAGCTTTGGCCTAGTCTGATTCATTGCTGCGCACGGCAAAGATATAACAAGCAAATATGGTGCAAATCGCTCCGGGAGAAAGGATTGTTGCAGCATGGCGCCATCACTATCGTCAATGATTGTCCAGTGGCTGCAATTGACGATCAAAGAAAGTGGGTTCCCTCAAGGTAGGGAGGTGGGCAGGCGTTATTGCGGGCCTGAAGAAAAAGGGCGCAGGTACATGAGCTGTAGTAGGTGGTGCTGAGCAACAAGGAGAGGAAAAGATAGGAGAAGAGAGTGGAGAGGTAGAGGAATCTGCGCAAGAGAGAGGGGGAAGTGAGCGAAGCCGTGGGTAGTATGTAGAGTGATGAGATCAATAGGTTGATTGATTGATTGATTGATTCAGCTGGTAAACCACCGAGCCATGAGGAGTTGAAGAGGGGGAGGAGGGAGTTTGGAGAGATGTGAGTGGATGGAAAAGGAGGAGTGAACTGGGTAAGATCAAAACATGGCAATGATTGTACGAGGAGCAGCTTTTGGTTGAACGGGGTTTGGCGGGTTACGGAGTCAATGGTATTAGCTTCAATCATAGCAACTTCAGTAGTGGTTGATGATTGCGTGGTGCAGTGGTGCAAAGTCACCAAAGTGGTTTGTAAGTGGTGCAAGTGGTGCAAAGCAGGGCAGCGGCAGTCCAGGATCAACTCTCCAAAGGGCCAAAGGGGGGGGGGCCCAGCAACCATCCAGGGCCCAAGGAGGTAAGGAGGAGGAGAAGGAGAGGGAAGAGTTCGGGGAGTCTGGTCCTGCCCGCCTTCTCTCTCCTTGCTCTCGCCCTCACTCGCTCTTGTCTTATCCGCTCACTCACTACTACCACCACTCGGCTCACTACTCCCCTCTCAGTACGTACTACTACCCAGTCGTAGTAGGTCAGCCCAGCCCTCTCTGCCCATCAGCCCTCAGCCTCCCACCCTACCCTACCCTCCCACCTCCCAACCCTTCTCCCATACATTTTTCCTCCTACTACCACTCTCCCTCATACACTGTACTGTGTGTGCATACACTGTGAGCGCCGCTGCCAACTGCGTTACTACTACCACCAAATCACCCTCATACACTGTAAGTACTCACTTTCTTCTCTAGACTATTTTTCACCCTCACCCTCCACACCACCCATACTCTTCTTCCATAGCTTGCGCGCAAAATTGCGATGCAAAATGCTCTTCTCATCATCCTGTTGCACTGTTTGCTCCCTTTTGCGACCTCGTCGTCGCCGTCTCCAGCACCCAGCGCCCTACAGGTCTTGACCACCACCACCAACCACTCCCCAGCTATCTACCCACTTCATTGACGCGTTTTCCTTGCGTCGGTGAGTCCAAGCGCATTCCAATCGCCCATTGTTGCTCTCAAAACACGCGTTTGGGACGCGAATGCACTCTTCCAAAACAATCCCAAATCGCCTGCGCTCGGCCCTCCCAGCTTGCACCTACACCACCCGCCTCTGTTTCCCTCTCACCTTGAGTGTGTTATCCGGGTTCTCTACGCGATTGTCGTTCGACGCTTGTTATTGCGCGCTTCCCCAAAGTCCTTGTTTTCTACCACTCGATCCTCTTTCACGTTGAACTCTCACTCTATCGGTACCATGGCTAAACAACGCGATACGCAGACTGCCAGCAATCCCGCAACCGCGATCAACCCGAAGCAATCTTCCACAACCAAAATGCCTAAAGCGAGCGCAAAGAATACCAAGGCTAAGGGCCGTGGAGCCGAGAAGAAGAAGAAGGGTTGGTGCATACTTTTGCTCATCGTGAAAACCTGACTGACTTGATGCGCAGACCCCAATGCTCCCAAGCGTGGCCTCTCTGCCTACATGTTCTTCGCCAACGAGCAGCGTGAGAACGTCCGCGAGGAGAACCCTGGCATTAGCTTCGGTACGCCCACTCTCCTCTTGGGCAGATGACCCCATGAGCTAACAAGACCACAGGCCAGGTCGGCAAGGTGCTCGGTGATAAGTGGAAGGCCCTGAGCGACAAGCAACGCGAGCCGTACGAGAAGAAGGCCGCCGCCGACAAGAAGCGATATGAGGACGAAAAGGCGAAATACAACGTGAGTGACGTTGCCTTCCTCCCTGAGACAGGGACATGCTCTAACAACACACCAGGCTGGTGAAGACGACGATGACGAGGACTAAACGGTCTCGCGCCCACGACGCGTGATCCGAGGTCTTTCGCAACTGCGTTCAAGGTCCAGTGGGATATTTCTCTTTTTCTGTCATCATGTTTTCACTAGCAATGATCGGCTGGGAGGCAGGGGTTATGGGAGTCAGTTATGGACAGGGTCGGTATGCTTCCGAAGTGCAGCTCACGGCTGGAATCATTGACCTTCGGAGATCAAGTCATGTTGTCGTGAGGTGAGGCACATCATCCACCATCATCATCACGATCACGAACCGGAAAGCTGAGCTGCAAACATTGCATAAGCATACTATGATCCGTGCTGTATACTAGCTTTTTATGCAATGCAATGTCTGGCAAAACGATCCAATTGATAACTTCTTGCTGGTTCTCCAGTAGTGATTTGCTCGGTGTTTTGTTGAATCGCCCAACGTGCCTTGGTCCGTGTATTCCAGTTGGTCGTGGACATGCTTGACCAGCTTTGGAAGCTTGAGCCATCCATCACGCTGTGCTGAGAGCATTACCGATCCTTCTGGCGGGCGTTGTCGCGTTTCAGCCCCCCGTTTCCCTACCACTCTATTTGGGCTTGGCCACAGGCAGCAGCAGCAACAGCAGAAGAAGGGCGCAGTTTGACTTCCTCCAACCTCATAAAGGCTCAAATGATGGCTCTCTCTTCTATCTTCATTGTGATGCATCTCGAGTCGAATGATATTTGAGGCCCTGAACACGTACGCCTGGTACATATTCTAGACGAGGTTTGTGTGTATCGGAATCCTCAACACTCACCACAATCATTCCACGCGTCCTCATTGCTGAACGTGCAATTTGTCACCTGGGTAATTTCCCTGCGAGAAGAACGGATCTCATGCTGACGGAGGGCGTGCGTGAGCGACTCGCGAAGTTCAGGTAGGAAGCATCTCTTTTTCCCAACAACTAAGTAGAACCACGTCGCCCCGCATAAAAAGCCTCGCTTCGCCCACCTGCGACTGTTGCTCCTGGAAAAGCGATCAGAGAAAATGTTTGGACGCCCTAACTTAGGCAGCAAAATCCTCTGCCTGCAGCATGCTGCATGAGATCTGGCCACCTTCGTCGAAGAAATCCGATACTGCCAGACTGCTCCAGTCTTGTCCCTGTCTTTCCTCGACGGGTCGCAGAAACAGGACAAAAATTGACATCTCTGAGGGGGTCGCAAGGGTCATTTAAAAGCTGGTACGAAGCATGACAGTGGTCAACGGTGGACAGCCTAAGGGCTTGTGCTGCGACAGTTCATGCGCATGCTGGCCGGTGACAAATCGGCGTTGTGTCTAGGTATGCATCGGTCCCTTCAACCTTCGGCTTCGCCTGCTGTCCGCTTGACACGTCAACGGCTTGCATGAGCTTTGCCTCCGCGCGAATTACGAGATTGTCAGTTCCAGCCCGCTCTTATCCTGGGCCCGCATCTCAATTTCAGCACAAAAGGAGCCTCTCCACTACATCTCGAGTCGATCTGGGCTTCTTCTCATCTGTCAGTCTGATTCCGAGGCGCATCCCCCCCGTCTATCATGCATGGATCTACTTCTACGAGAGGAGGCTGGGAGAGCCCAGGACATTGCCGAAATTCTCAGCACGATCCGGAGCAGCGATCAAGATCATGAGCAGGACATCACCTTGGCCATCACGGGATTGAACGGCTTGAGCTGGGCACTGCGGGAACTCAATAACCAGATCGACGCGGTGAGCGGCAAGGTCACCTCGACCTTTGCAGGCGACTTGAAACTCCTCCAGCACAGTGTCGCCTTCACCCTTCAAGACGTATGGACCATCCTAGGCAAGTTGCCTCGCGTCCCGGTCGCGGCAGACTACCAAGATGCCTGGAAAGAAGTCGCCCGATATTGCATGAACATGGGAAAGCAGACCCTTCACACCCGACTAGAAACATATAAACTCTTCACCTACTCGCTATGCAAGGTTCTCTCAAGGTATGGTACTCCCAAAGCCCTGAACTGGCCGTCGCTCAGGAGCATTTTTGGTTAGGCAATCCTTCAATCGACGACACCTCGAGGATCTGCGACTCGAGATTTTTGACCTACAAACCCTACAACGCGAAGACAGACGATTAATTCAAGCTTCCGAGACCTTTCCTACTCTTTCTGTGGTACCAGTCCACCAAGGTCACTCAGTCCCTTTCGCTAGTGGCCATGCTTGGTATTGACGAGCAGCAGTTATCAAACCTCTCCCGTCCCATGAACGGGTAAGACCAGAGCCTCAACGACCCATGTCGCCGGCAACCTCCCAGGACAGTTATGAGACATTCCAACCCCAAGCGGCTCCCAGTCCGCCACCTCTGTCCCCAGTTTCTCCTGCTTCACCCGTCACCACCTTTTCCACTCTCAGTCAAACCTCGAGTGTCGACTCGGAAACCAATCACTGGGCGACCAAGATATTCAATAATCTGCCCAGTACTCCTCTGGATGTGGACCCAAACCCGTGAGGACAATAATCTTCCTCTGGCTTCAGACATTCACTTACCCATTTGCTTCTTCAACAGATCTTGCTGTTTCGGTGATGTGGATGCACGCTACCGTAGGCGACCGGATCCAGAATATGAAAGGATCCTCCAACTGTAAGGTTTGTCGAGTGTTTGAAGATAGAAGACTCACCGTGGCCAGAAAATTCCCGGGCGGACTGAGAACGAAATTCTATTGGCGTGCTCGCGATTACCGCGTCAAACTCGTCTGCGAGTGGCATGACAATCGAAAGAACCTTCGAATGTCTTGCTTTCCTTTGAGTGAATTACACATACGTCGCTCTGGGTCATTGCTGTACCTTTGTTGTCCGACAGTTCGAGGTGCTAGCACTTGTTGGACAAGCCTCAACTTCACTTCGTACGAATGTCAGTGCTCAAGCTGTGCTGCTGGGGATGTCGCTGATCGTTTCAGGGCTCGTCATCTTCCATTGTACCTTTCTGTCGCTTCGTTCACATGACAGCACCTCGCAATTCCGCAACATCGACCATGATCTTGATGGCGAGATTCTCCATTTTGCCGGGTGAGCTGCTGAGATGCTCTCGTCGATGAGGTCGAAACTGATCCAGTCAGGGCCATCCGTGACGGTGGTTACCGGCATGTCCTACGATTGTACCGTGACAAGAGGACGGACGCCGTGCGGCTCGAAGCCGCTGTCCTCGACAAAGAAATGAAAGAGTAAGCTCTCACTGCCGCCTCGGAGAATGCAAAAAGCTGAGTTTTCCAGCAGCACACCCATCTGGACAGCTTTTATCACGCACAAAATCACCTCGCCTAGTTGGTTTCGATGGCCTAAAAATAGCTCCACGATTTATCTTGCTGAACTTCAACGCCATGTCTTCTCTTCCGAATACTCACCCCACGTCCGCGCAAACGGCGAGCATCTTCTTGACTTTGAAGTTTTCACAGGTAGGTCGTTCCGAATACGTACTCTCCCCGTTCGATGGGAGAGTGGCTGACGTTGTATAGATGCCGAAGACTTTGTCAAGACGCTCAAAGATTTGCGCGAGGACATTCGCAGACCGAAACCGACCAAAAACGTACGAGTCCCGGTGACATGACCTGACGACCATAATGACATGACTAATGACACTGACGATGAAATGGGCGGCCATCTTTGTGTGAGCTTTTCGACGGTGCGGCAAAATGGAGGCCTCGTGCCTTTGGATACCCCTGCCTTTACCTTTCTTGCCATGTCTTCTCTGCTCAGCTTGTTGCTTTCCAGACTTCTGTTTGATCGCCTTGCCTAATTCCCAGCGGAAAAGAGACTAACTGGTGGAGGGATGCCGATATTGTTTGTTCTTTATTCTTCTTCTACTTATCTGTTCGGTGGTCTGCACGGGTACTCATTCCTGGCCAAAAGTCGACACGCCCTTGCTTGGGATCCTACCAGGCTCAAAATCGTGCATTCATACAGCAGTGTGTGGCTCCCCGACTCGACCCACTTCCATATTCTACCTTTTTATATATATTAAGAAGTGTTGCTGTTTTCTAGCCACGGTTAAGTACTTCGTACTGGCAAGCTGGCTGTGCATCGGCGTAGATGCCGAGCAAGACGCCTTTGCCCGGCCAGATTCCGCGAATCGCTTGACAGATCAGGCTCCTTGCTCCAAGAAACGATCGGAGATTCTTGTCTTTCTCTCCACCTCGATCCTTACCCGTTATCCTTTATCCGATTTATCTTCGCGTCATTTGCGTACGCCGTACAACGGACATTAGCCTTCGCACCAGAACTATCTCCAATTCCTCCTGTTAATATTAGCCAGAGTCGAGGACCTGGAGAAGTCATGGCTCCTCTTCTTTCGCTGTTCGGTGCTGTCTGCGGTTTTGAAGTTGTGGCTGCTGAGCGTCATGTCGCAGCCAGAAGAAGCGTCTCCTCGGGGAACCGAGAATGCCCTGAGCGTTGAGGCACCGCCAGCGACCACCCATCAGTATAGCGACCCGAGCTCGGGAAGGACGTTCCTCCAGAAGGTGTACGCCTGCCTGACCTATGTGCCATCGAGGTGTCGCTATGACCCCGAGAAGCCGTTTCAGTTCTCAATGGCATTGAATGTGCTCTTTGGTAGGAAAGAAACCTTGCCCCGGATAAGTCACACGAAATTGACAGTCTGTAGCGTTCGCCGGTTGCTTCACCGTGGCGAACCTCTACTACACCCACCCAATCCTCAACCTCCTCGCAGACGACTTCCACGTTACCGACGAGCAATCTTCCTATATCCCGACTCTCGCACAAGCCGGATATGCGGGTGGATTGCTGTTCTTGTGCCCGTTGGGGGACTTGGTCAAGAGGCGGCCGTTTGTGCTTTGGCTGGTCTGGTTTACTGCGACCTTGTGGTACGCTGAGCGAGATCCTTTTGGGTGTGGTATGGTCGAACTGATGTTCATTACAGGATCGGCCTCTGCGTCACCAAATCGTTTGCTGCTTTTGGAGTTATCACGTTTATTACAAGTGTGACAACTGTGACACCTCAGTTGATGCTGCCACTGGTCGGCGACATGGCCCCTCCCCACCGGCGGTCGACGTCTCTGTCTATTGTCGTGTCGGGGATGCTGCTGGGAATGCTAATTGCCCGTCTCTTGTCCGGCGTCGTTGCTAGATACATCGGTTGGCGCTATATTTACTGGATCTCATTCGGATTGCAGTACTTCATCCTGATTTTGCTGTATCTGTTCATGCCAGATTATCCTTCAACAAACCCGGGCGAGAATATCTGGAAGAAGTATCCAATGTTGCTGTGGGACATCGTGAAGCTCGTGGTCAAGTATCCGGTTTTGGTCCAGGCATGTCTAGTCGGAATGTTCACCGCGACGACCTTTACCAGTTACTGGACAACCCTTACATTCCTCCTTGCGGGATCTCCATACCATTACAGTTCACTGGTCATTGGTCTGTTTGCTCTGATCGGCATTGGCAGCATGTCCTGGGGTCCTATTTTTGCCAGAACAGTCATGGAGAAGCACCAACCGCTCTTTTCGGTCATCATTGGCGAAGTTATCTGTTTGGTCGGTGTGGTCATTGGAACATATACCGGCAAATTTACGGTGGCTGGGCCCGTGATTGAGGCAATTTGCATCGATATTGGCCTGCAGACCAGCCAGATCGCCAACCGGACGGCCATTTATAAAGTCGCGCCCCTGGCAAGGAACCGAGTCAATACAGCTTACATGGTCAGCGTTTTTGTGGGCCAGTTGATTGGCACCGCCGTCGGGAACTCGCTTTACGCTGATGGTGGATGGATCTCTTCCGGGTCGGCAAGTGTTGGGTTTGTTTCTGCGGCGTTGGTTGTGTGTCTCTTACGTGGTCCGCATGAACAAGGATGGATAGGTTGGCGAGGAGGATATAATATGCGAAAAGGAATGCCAAAGAAACCCCAGAAGACCCCAAGTGATACGGAGGCTGTCCAGATCCAGGAAGCGCCTCAACCATTCAGCGAGGAGAAGACGAAAGAAGCTGTACAGGGGGAGAAGGAAATCGAAGTGCAGATTCACAATGAGCACCACGGAAATGATCACAGTTCTCGATCCTCGCAACGTACACTCAGTGAAGAGATACAGCCTTACAGGGAGAAGGATTAGGGTGGACAAACCGGGAGTCCTTGCGAGGCATGTCGTTGAGACTTGCACCGGAAGGTCATTCCTGACTCCAGAGGACTGGACACAACAGGGCCTACGTGGAATCGCAACCCAACGTCCCTCAGCGGCTGAGTCGCCTGTGATCCAAAAACCCATTGCAGCTCGGCAGACAGCATGCCGCACATCGGCTCATCGAATGGTAAGTCGCCAATGAAGAGGTCGCTGTGACCTACACCACGCTGAGCACGTGGTCGCATACTCTCGGTGGCATTGCTATTGATCGATGGCCCACGAGAAGACAGTCGCACTTGGACCCTCTTCGTGGATATACGGCACTCTATCCATAACCAGTCTTGGTAAAGCGAGAGGGACTTCAAACAACAAGAGCACGGTCAATACATGGGTGCGAGTACGCCGGGCGGCAACCAGCGGCCTCTACAATGTTTGAGTCTTCCATAGCCGCCTTGTTCTCCACATCTGCAACAGGAGCAGGGCGACACCATTGTCATACTGAGAAGGAGTTCCGCTCCAGTTTCTTGGAGTCTGTGAAAATGAGAACATGGATAGCCCCCTTCCTTTTCCCCCCACAATGTTGTGCCAGGCCCCGTGCACATTCCTCGCAGATCTCGCGATGGAATCTGTTCCAAGCTTCGTCCAAACGCCTTCATTATGATCTTGACTCTCCATTTCGCGTATCCGTTGAAGCGCAACCGTCTGCCTGCTGTTGCCGATCATGGCTGTCCATTCCTTTTCTCTCCGATGTGCGGCTTATCATACACTTTTTGTGTGTTTTGTGTATTTCCACAATGTCCTTGGCTTTACTAGCTCGATCTATCAGCTGGACTCGGAGTATTCGGGCTCCAATTTCTTTCAAGGATGGGACTTTTTTACCGTGAGTCGTATGAGTGCACGCGATTTCTCTGACAAGGCTGACGCTGAACAGGGCGGCGACCCAACAGGAGGATTTGTAACGTGAGTGATAGCGAACAAAGAATCGAGATGCAGGGCCTGACAGTTGAATAGGTATTATAGTCAGGGCTCTGCTGAACTCATGGGCATGATCGATGCCAGCGACAGCTCAGCGATCTATATTGGTTCCGATTATAACACGGTGATCGGATCCACACAAGCAGCAGGGAGACCCAGCGTCCGCATATCCACGCAAAGATCATGGACCCATGGATTGTTCATCGGGGATTTCAATCACGCGCCGGGAGGAGTTTGTGGAAGTTGGCCTGCATGTATGTTCTTTCAGCGAGGGATGGAGACAATGTGCTAATCAATCACAGTCTGGACACTGGGACCCAACTGGCCTAACAACGGTGAAATCGATATCATGGAAGGAGCAAATATGGCCAACTACAATGCGGCGACATTACATACGTATGTGGACACGAGGATGTTGTGGGAGACGTTGCTGATGGATGGAATAGGAGCCCAAATTGTACGATTGCTGGGGATAGCAGGACCATGACAGGCCAGTTGTCGAATAACAATTGCGCCTACTATGTAAGTGACATGGTGATTTTCGGGTGGAAGATGCTAACAGGGCCATAGCCTGGCTACAATGTCGGCTGCGGTATACGCGATAATCGACCGGCCAGCTACGGCACCGGCTTCAACGCCATCGGTGGCGGCGTCTATGCGATGCAGTGGACTTCAGACTTTGTCAGTGTGTGGTTCTTTCCCAGAGGCTCGATCCCCAGCGACATCACCAGCAAGACTCCCAATCCTTCGTCCTGGGGTCTGCCGGCGGCCAAGATGCAGGGTTCTTGTGTCTTTGACCAGCATTTCCAAGCCCACAAGATCATCCTGAACAATGCCTTTTGCGGAGAGTATGCAGGAGCAACCAGTGTGTGGAATTCGACGACAAACTCTTGCGCCATCAATACTGGCTATTCCACCTGCAACGCCTATGTGGCGGCTCAGCCTGGAGCATTCCAACAGTCGTACGTATTGCAGAACCTCCTCTGGACCAAACCCTGGGACTGACCCGTCAATAGCTATTGGAGCATCAACTCGATTCGGGTCTATCAATTGGTGGATCCTAATGCCAATGTCAGCAGCAATGCTACAACGTATATTGCAAGCAATCAGCCTACTCCGTCCAGCACATCAACCATCTCGTCCTCAACCCCAGTACCAACGACGAGTTTGTGCCCGACGTACAACTTCACCGTCGTCCAAGCCGGGGATTACAAGTACGAAGTTGAATGTGGAGTCAACATCGGCGGGTCTGATATTGGACGACCCTATCCCAATTACCCCGTGAACTCGTTCGAGGACTGCGTGGCTGGATGTAGCTACTGGAACACCTTCAACATCAGCAACATCTGTGGCGGCGTGACATACAGGGTCAGCACCAGAGCATGCTTCTGGAAACGAAACGTCGGAAGTACCCCTGCGGATCCCAACTTCAACAGCGCCAGGCTCATCTACTATGCCTATCCACAGGTGACGGACGACCCGCGAAAGCGGACCTCGAGCAGCAGCAGTACATCATACGTGGCGACTTCAGTCACGCCCCAATACTATGTCGCTGCGGGAACCACTTCGTCGACGTCGTTCTCGCTGATTTCGGAGACACCGACGTCGAGCTTTACGGATGGTGTTCCCTTGGGGGGGACGACGACCGACGATGGTTCTTCCACCACGTCTGATGTTTCGACGACAACGGTGGTATCCACGGGAAGCAGCTCTCAGAGTACGTCCACAGCTTCGGTGAGCTCATCCTCGTCTATCACGTCTTCGACTTCCCGATCTTCAACCGTGTCATCAACCAGTACCGCCTCTACCACCTCTACCTTGTCCAGTGTGTCGTCGACTTCCAGCTTGTCAATGGCACCGACCACGAATCGACCTTCTTCTTCGTCGTCATCGTCAGTGGCAACGTCAACAAGAAGCCCTACCGCGACCTCGACTAGCGGGCAGCTATCCTCTTCAAGCTCGACAGCGTCAAGCTCATCGTCCATACCGGCCAATCAACCCTCAACCGTCAGTAGTGCGGGTTCAACCTCTACTTTGGGGTCATCGTCGTCAACGATGTCCCTTTCATCCCATTTTGTGAGCTCCTTTGCGACTTCTGGCGCATCTGCTACCGCGACACCGACGCAGTCTCAGTCTCAGTCTCATACTCTGTCTTCGACGACTACCGCAACAGTAATCAACCCAAGTTCAGCATCCACAAGTGCAGGTCTTCCTAGCATGAGCACTTCCGACCCAGGTGTCTCTTCTTCCTCTGTTACAACTTCGTCTCCTTCATCTTCCTCAACTCCATCGACTGTCTCTTCCTCAATCCTGCCGTCATCGCCTTTAACAACGTCTTCAGACTCTCCAACATCTTCCACGCCCAGCCAACCGTCGACGTCAACGACGAGCAGCTTTGTCGGTGATTCCACGTCTTCGTCTGCGTCATCTTCACCTCCCTCAACATCCACTTCTCTTTCTGAAGATTTCTCCTCCACCCTGACTTCACAGACTATGATCAGCTCCAGCTCCAGCTCCAGCACCAGCTCGAGCTCCCTAACACCCAGCAGCTCTATTAGTTCTTCAACAAACCCCCCGGCCTCGACCACGACCGCGGTATCAACCACACCCACAACGACGAATACTCTACCGGGTCCCACCCAAGTCTCCTCCTTCACATTCGCAAGCTGTCTGGGACCGCGGCCGAACACTGCGTTTGCCAACAGCTTCACACTGGTGGAGGACTCTCCGCTCATGTCGATCGAGAGATGTATTGATAACTGCTCATTGGACGTGTACGCTGGTCTCTTTGATACGTAAGTTTGGAGTCTCTCTCTCTCTACATTTCAACTGTCTTCGCCCTAGCGACCGGCGTGAATGTGAATGAACGTGGTTCACAAGCTGTCCGCCCGCTCAGGGTCGATCTATGCTGACGCCTACCTCTTTTCCAGGCAATGCTACTGTTCCACATACTCGCTGCCTCTGGACAACGACACCGCGTCTTCCGAAGACTTTGTCCGCTACCCGGATTCGGCATGTAACACGACGTGTCCGGGCAATCCTGCGCAGAAATGTGGAGGGGTGGCCCGTTTTCCTCCCCCGACGAGGCTTGGTAAGAGACAACTCGTCGACGCGAACGGTGACATTGTGCTCTTGACGTTGTATAACAACACGGGTGCTGATGTTGGCGGTTCATCGTCGTCGACGACGACGTCGATTTCTTCGGTGGATACGACGGTCGTGTCAACGGCATCATCATCATCCGTGACGGCGTCGAGTAGCGGGAGTGCGAGTGTGAGTATTTCAGCAACAGCAACAGCAACAGCAACAGCAACAGCAACAGCGTCGCCGTCGTCATCGACATCGACAACACGAGTACCGACATTATCAACAAATTCCACTCTCTCATCCTCATCCTCATCGTCATTCTCCTTCTCCGACTCGGTGATTTTCATCACACCCACCTCTTCTTCACCGCCATCTTCACAAACCTCCTCATCAACACTCTCCCCCACAACCATATCGACCACATACACCACCATCTGCGCGTTACACCCGACCTCCTGCCCCGTACGGACAGAAACCTGTCTCGTGACAACCATCACGGTCCTGCATTGCGGATGCACGGATATGCCTGAAGCGGCGGTGCCCATGACGACTACTGTCGTAGCCGCGTGCTCGACCTCGACACTGTCTCCCGGAGTGGGTGGGCAGGGCGACAGCGATAGCGAGGTGGAGGAGATGACAACCCTCACGGTCCCGTGTACCCAGTCCATTTCGACCTTGGAGGACGCTGTCTCGAGCTGGTCTGCGTCTGCGTCTGCGTCTTCTTCTTCTGTTTCTGTCTCTGCACAGATCGGCGCGGGTGCACACGCATATGCAGAAGCTACAGCCACAGCCATAGCTACTGCCAACGCTGACACTAATGCGCACCCGCACAGCTATGTCCCGTATAGCTTCCCCATTTCGTTTCCCATGGCCACGACCACGACCACGACCACGACCACAACCACAACCCCGGTCGCCGAGACGGACATCGTGACCGAGAACCTCGTCCTCGCCACCACCGCAAAGTTCAATTTCTCCCTGCCTCTGAAGAACGTCACCGTGAGTCCGGTCCCTTTACCTTTGCCGGTGCCATTGCCAGCGCCGTCGGCAGCTGCGTCGAACGTGTCGAGTGTATCTGGGGCGGCGGTGGAAGTTCATCGGCCTTCTTCTTCTTCTTCTTCTTCTTCCTCCTACTCCTCTTCTCTTTCGCCGAGAAGATGGTCTAGGACGTGCTCATTGGTTCTGTTCTCCGTCATCGCCATCACTATCACCACCGGGTGACTTTTTAGTTGAATTCACTCTTGGTGTTGGGATTGGGATTGCCATTGCCGGTATTGGACTTTGATGATCGGATCCTGGGAGATCTAACGCGCGATTCTGTTCGGTTAGATTGGATTGGATTGGATTGAATTAGAAGGTGGCTTGTATTGTCCTGTAGCTTGCTTGTGACTTGCATGAAGCCTGTGGGAGCTTGGGGCTTGTCAGATATGAAATATCTATTCTACCTATCTGTCTGTCTGTCTGTGAGGATGTGCAGACGTGTAGACGTGTAGACCAACGATCTTGTTCTGGCTGAAACCCTGAGGACATTGTATCTAATCCGTCTACCCTAGCACCCTACGTGGGCCGATCAAAGGTACCTTTTCTAAAGTACTCTACCGACCCTACCGACCCTACCGACCGTCCAGTGCACGAATGGTACAGGACAGGTGACGTACCTACCTCCTTGCCTATCTACCTAGGAAGGTACGTACGGTATTCCCAAGAAAGAATAAAGTAAGAATGGAAGAAAGAAACCAGAGACAGAAACAGAGGCAGAGGCAGAGGCAGAGGCAGAGGTCTAGTGTGGTATGATGTGAATCATTCGTCACGCTGGAATCGGTTTATCTTTTAGTGCGAGAACTCGGGCCTCATTTCGGGGTCGTTGATTCATTTTCAATTCTTCATTCGTCCCTTCTATCAGCAATCACTCGTTGTCGTCGTGGTCCATAGACGCCAGCACGCCAGCACGCCAGCCCAGATCACCTTGCCAGCTTGCCAGCTCAGTCGGTGGAACTAATTCAGTCCTGTGCCGTTTCCTTTTGTCCTGTACTGTCCTGTACTGTCCGATCCAGTCCGATCCAACCTTATCCGACCAAACCCAATCCGGGCCCCCAGTCGAGTCATAGCCGTGCTCGTTCCCGTAACCACGTTGACTCCTCAAAGCCCATCACCAGCGCGTGTCCCTTGTCCCTGTTCAGCCTGTCGAGCTGATCGTATTCAATAGACCTCGTTCAGCCTTCTCGCTACCGCCGAAACCCAACTCCAAATCCACGTGAGACAAGGCCCGGCCAGAGCATTCATGCCACAATTCCAAGAACCATGACGTCTGAACATGTTCCTTTCGTAGAGGGTGGTAATCCAAGGATGACGGATACTGACCAGATCAATGACAGCCCACACCATAAATATGCCATTGCGCCTTTGCCAACACGTCCCGAACTAGCGACTGGAAAATTTCCTCTTATGGTCCCCACCACAGCATTCGAGTTCGACAAAGCACTCCCCAACCATGTCGTCCCTCTCGTGCGGTTTGGCTCGGACCCAAGCTCGACTATCCCTCCTCAATTCTCGGATATAATAATCCGTAGGTTGATACTTCTTCTCCCACTCTCCCAACTTGACGTCGAGTTGTCGGGGGCCCCAGGTCCTCGAGCCAAAGATGATCTTCCAGGCACCGATGAGAAAACGGCAGAGGGCCACGTACGAGGTCGGAGGCAGCAACGTAAGCTCCTCGTCACATGAAAGATGGGGCCAACTCCGGTCACTGTTCTGGACCGTCACAGGCAAGGCATGTCCAAAAGCACCATCGAAATCACACCCACTGGGCAGGCGGATATCTGTTTGATCGTTATCCACGCGACGAAGAGCCTCCATCCAACTGCTCTCCCTGGTGATTATCTGCAGGTCCGCTTGACGGAACCATGGCAGACCGTTCTCAACATAGATTTGGATCTTGTCAAGGTTCATTTTACGGAGCTCGTCAAGGATCGCCTCGTATTCCTCGACTCTGAGTTGCGCCGAGACTCGGTTGAGGTCAAGGGTAAGTACCTTTAGCCTGGGACACGAAAGCCGGATCGACTGAAGTTCCTCTGCCGAGAAAGCGTCTCTGGGATGAATACTTTCAGGGGCTTCACACTCGTGAAGCTGAAGGTCCCGAAGAGTCGCTCCATGACGATTCAAAATGGTGGACAATGGCACTTTCCCCCTCCACGACCAGAGACTCAACGTCTCCAAAGGTGGGCAGGTGGCAATATATTCTTTTACTGCTCTCAAAAATACGTCGGACCGAGGCTCCGCGCCAAGGTTCGTGCTGAAACTCTTCAGATTCGTTAGCAGTTTGGGGGCGCGGTCGAAAAAGGACGAATAGATAGGACCCCTGCTACACTTCAAGCCTCGCAGGCTTGCCAGATTGACGTACTCGGACCAGAACTCCAGGCATTCAGCAGAGATTCCCCAACCATCCAAGGTCAGGTGACGAAGCGATGTGCCCTGCTTCCCCTCCAGATCCGGAGGAAACCAGCTGTCGAGATTGGGTCGGAGGAAGGTGACGGTGGGACTGTACGACTCCATCGGGGGAAAAGAAAGTATCGAGGCGAATTCCAGGTTTGGGGCCGATTTCAAAATCATGTGAAAGACCAAATGATCTTCGATACACGTGGCCTGCATGGTGGTCATCGACAACGAGTTCAAACAAGTCGCTGCCGCCAGGACCTTTTCCGATTCCAGTGGGATTTGTGCGAGCCCCAGTCTCCTGGCACGGAAGATGTCCAGTTTCACCTTTGGCTGATGGGCCTGCAAGGTCTCGACGATGCCTTTGGTTGGCAGATAGCTGGTCTTCCAAGTCAAGGTCTTCAGATTGCTGGCATTGCGGAGGACACTTTGCAGCCGGTCCAGCTTCTCGCAAAGGTTTCTGGCACCGGGGAGATCGCCGTTGCCGAGCTCGAGGATCAGCGCCGGGAGGTCGCCCTTGCAGGCTGTAAGGTGTCGCAAGCCTTGGAGGAGTTCCGGTGTTTCCCATTCTTCTTGTTTGCGACCGGCCATGTCAACCCAGGATTCCCGTTCGCAGTCCCAGTGCACGGTGATGTGACGGTAGCGGACAAGCTGAGTCACGAAATTGAAGTACTTGCAGGTTCGAGCCACCGCTGCCATCGTGCGAGGGGATTCGTTGTCAACGTACTCAAGGACATGGGCGAGGACTTCAGCCTCGAGGCTGAGGATGTTTGTGTTGGTCATGCTTGCTGGCTGTGCCATAAGATCAGAGGTGGTGTGTTTGAACTGATAACTCCGTCTCTCTCGATCTCTACTTAAGTTTCCCTGGGTACAATGGTATCTGCCGTTTGCAGTGAGGTGAAAGGAGTGAGGCTCTTTGTCAAATATGGCAGAGCGCAGCCGTGGAGATCGAGAAAGGCGAGTGAGGTCATTTGAAGGTACAAAGCAAAGGCCAGAGGGGCGACCGCAGAGTCCAGTCACATCGAACTGCCTGTGTTGGCGAGGTCAGGCAGTTGTGAGGCTGAAGTGAACAAAGCTCATTGACAGAGCGCGGGGTTAATGGATACTGATTCGTCCGACGCGTGCCAACGCGACTCAGGCACCAGCTCACGTGGCTCACGTGGCTCACGTGGGACTTTCGATATCAGCCTGATCAGTCCCACACGGCTTGGGGAGCGAAAAGCGAGTACCGAGTCCTGAATAGTGAGTGCTGAACGTGTCTCATGTCTCTCTAGCTCTATGCTTGTATGCGGATCGTCGACGGCCCCTCTAACATGCCTGGCATATTAATGCGTCCCACCAGTGCTGCCAAATTCCATGCCCCTTCTCGCCCATGTGCCTCTAAAAGTCCTGAACGCCTCGCTATCATCAGGTGTCTATGTGACCTGTCCTCACAACTCTATCCAACCCGATTTGTGTCACTCGAGCAGCTAATCGCTCTTCTGTGTCTTTCGGTAGGTGTCTAGATGTCTTCGTCGATGATGGCTTCATCCAATTCCAAAAGCATCGATTCCTCAAGTAAACTGCTGCTCGCAACATAGCTGAACCCCCCAAACGGATCAGACTTGCTCAATGTTCGGCTGTGTCGTCGCGTAAGAGTGTCAATCGCCCTGTCAGTGAATTCTTTGGCAAAGTTCTCGGCCAACTCCGGGTTGGTGACCAGCGGCCTGATGGGAGGCTCGAGCTCCTTGGCCTCTAACTTCTTCCAATCAATTTTCCGGAAGAATCGGTGCTTCTTGATGACGTTGATGTCGTTAGGACCAACTCCAAGTCGCTTCTTAGGCTCCTTGCGCAATAGTCGCGTGAGAAGGTCTTTGGCGTCTGGCGATAGGAAGTAGGGCAGGCTCAGCTTCTGGTACATGATATTCTGCTGGATCTTAGTCCAACTGCCGCCACCAAAGGGAGGTTTGCCCGTCATAAGATCGCAAGCCATCGCACCCAATGACCACCAGTCGCACGCTTTCCCGTATCCCGGACCCCAGTCAGATTCGTCACTGCCTCTGATGATCTCGGGAGCCATGTATTCGATCGTGCCCACACCCAGACTGTTGCAACGACTCCCGCCCGGGGTACTCGGGTCCTGCACAGCGACCTTGCTCAGACCGAAATCTGTCAACAGCAAATGGCCCTCGGCGTTCAACAAGCAATTCTCCGGTTTGAGATCACGATAGATGACGCCGACTGTGTTGTGGAGATAGTCCAGTGCCAAAACAATCTCGGCGATGTAAAATGCAGCCACTTCCTCTGAAAAGAACTTTTCCAATTCCAGGTGACGGAACAGTTCACCGCCTGAGGCATATTCAAGAATCAAGTATAGCTTTTCGTGGTCCTGGAAGGCGTAGTAGAGATTGACAATGAATGGATGACGATTGACCAACTCGAGAATGCTGCGCTCGGACATGGTTGATTCGATGCGCTTCTTGTGAACCTTGAGAAACGCTTTCGTGAGTTGCTTTTGAGCAAACAAACGACCCGTGGCATTCTGTCGTACAAGAAGCACCGTTCCAAAGGCCCCATCTCCGAGGCAGCGGATCGGAGTGAAATCTGCCGCGGTCATCTTGCGGACAATCATCGAAGTCGCGCGCTGATCTGCGTCCATAGTGGCAGTAGATGCCGCCGATGCGACTTCGGTCTCCGCCAGCGACTGACTGACGAAGTCTTGATCGATCTGGACATGGTAGCTGACCATATCTTCGTGCGGCTCCTCCCCTTGGGTGTCCGACGCGGCACTGGCGGCGCTGCTGTTCGCCTCCGAATCCAGAGTATTGCGCACGCGCGAGTTAGAGCGGCTTTGACTGCGGGAATTCAGAGCATCAAGCTGGGCCTTTAAGCCGCTGACACCCGGCGACTGAGGTCTCAGTCCTGGGCTGGCACCAGCCAACGCAGGCAAACGAGGGATAGGTGACAAAACCCGTGGGCTGTTGCGTGACACGTCCGACTCTTCAGCTCCCGAGTCAACAGGCGTGAATCCTCTGACAGTACTCAGTGCTTGGGCCGCATGGGCCGCTTTGGTCTTGTTTTTCTTCTTCTTCCTCTTTGCCGCGGTCGTAGACAGGATGACGCTGCCCTTGACTTCTTGTCTTCCTCTTTCGCTCTCCAGTTCGACGAGAGCCTCGTCTTCGCGCGTACCGACCGGCATGGTTTTTTGCGGTGTCACAGGAGGACTCTTGTTTCGAAAAGGGATGATTTCCGGATCGCCTGGGTCCGCGTTGTTGTTCCCCAGCGCAATCGAATTGAGTGCGTCCTCAAAATCGGCTGAGACGTCGGCGGGTGGTGGCATCCCAGTGGGAGTTTCTGGAGCCTTGTCCATGATGGCCTGAGTAGTTGAGATACTCATATTCGCGGGTTCTTTTTTGATGATACCCACAAGTTAAAAAGGGGGAAGGTTGAGAGTTAGATTAAAACACGATGCTCGAGGCCCAGGCGGCTTGTAGTATTACCGTCCGCCCTTGTTCAGGACGGACCTTGCGCCAGTAGCCAAACCAGAAGATGGCCAGTCTTGCACGATGCGAGTGAAGGTGACGTTGGAATCACATGGGAAAGTGCAATCCGTCCGCGAGCGGCAGGAGTGAAGTCTGAAATTGTGGCTGAGGTAGTGACGGCGCTTTGACCCATTGAAGGTGACAAGAAAATCTACTCTAACCGTAAGTGACCGAGATAGATGAGACGCAAGAGAGACTCGTAAAAAGGCCCAAAAGAATAAAGACAGAAGAAGAGGTTCAAGTCCAAGGAGGAGAACGGGGGTGGTGGACGAGGTCAGCAAAAAAAAGCCACTGGAGCGCAGCCTGAGAAATTCTGGAGGCGGCAGAGGCGCCCAGTGCCCAGTGCCCAGTGCGTTGTCGGCCAACGAAAGCGGGAGGATCGCCTCAAGCCCCCAATCAGACCATGGCTAAATAGGTTCCCCCTGCAATTTTTTCATCGCAAGCAGCCTTGGGCCGCGGCCCCGTGTCACCACAGATCTGCCCCAGATATAGCCCGTGCTTCTCCAGAGGCTGGCCAGGCTTGCTTAGTTCCCGGCTCTCCGGCTCGCAGAGACCAGCCGAATCTCAGCTCTGTTGTTACGAGAATCATCTCTGGACACCGGATTATTATTATTCCGCCCTCCCACCACTGCAAAGTCATACCATCCTTTTGTTCCCAAGCCTTTCCAAAGCACACCATAACCTTGCCACCAGATAATCCTCCGCATTGCTCGTACCAGTGAATCACGCATATAAAAAGCCGCTCGTCAGACCAGACCAGACCACGTCTTCCTCTTCCAGCATGGCAGTTTCCCTCATGGACAAAGTTATTCTGAAAAACATGAGGTTCGACATTCCCGTCGGCCTCGATGCCTGGCGTCGTTTCCGCAAACCCCAGCCTGTGTCGATCACCATCGAGGCTCAGCCCACATCAACCCTTGAGCCGGCGGCTTCCAAGGATGATGTGAATCTCTCCATGGATTATGGCAAGTTGTACAAAAGGATCACCGCGGCATTGAAGGACGCCGATCCCGAAGCCTTTCCTACCATTTATGCCCTGATCGGTTTAATCTCCAACCTGGTACCAAACTGTGGTCTGCTCACCATCAACATTGCCCTTCCCAAGGCTTTACTGCAGGCCAGAGGCGGCGTGCTCTACCAATATCAGGTCGACAAGTCCGAGCTGGACGTTGACACGTCAAGCCTCACTGTGACGGTTAAACAAATTGCTTGCACCTGCATCATCGGAGTCAATCCCCAAGAGCGCATCTACAAGCAGACCTTATTCATCGACATTAGCGTACCTCTTGTCGACCCTGCTCTGGGAATTGGTGCTCTGGAAGAACATTACACCGCTGCTCTGCACGACATGGTCCAAACAGTGGTTGAACGCGTCGCAGGTTCAGCGTACCACACAATCGAATCTCTGGCAACGGCCGTGGCCCAGATTGTAACAATGAACTATGGACACACGTTCGCCAAAATCCGCATCGAAAAACCGAGCGCCATTGCCTCCATAGAAGCCGCCGCTGTCGAAATTACCCGCAGCAAAACATTCTTCGAGAACAAAGACTTCTGGAAGGTCAAGCTCCCGTAACATTCAGAGACTCATCCTTTAATCGGACGTTAGGTCGATTATGCTCAATCGAGCACGACGGGGGGACGCTAGAGAAGGGTATATCTGAGTACTCGAGCCCGATTCGCATTCGACTTCTTTCCACGTGCCTGGAAGACTTGACCTGGGAACTGCGTGGATGTGCATGGCCGAAGATGGGTTTGCAGACTTTTCCGACGTTAGCTTTGGCAGAACTTTGACTGGACGACTTTCTCCTTCGGCTGGTGCTGCTTGGGACGGTGGCGCCTTCTCGCGCACATATGGCTTAAAGAAACTCACGATACGCCGTTGAGGTTCGATGAGGCTCTCACTCGATCCTCCAACCTCGGTGAGAGCTCGGAACTTATTTGCTCTTTTCCTGGGCGTCCGCCGTGTGATGTTGCTGAGCGAATCCAAGGCTTCCTGCGTTTCTCCATGGTCCACTGCTGAGTTGGATTTTCCCCGGGCTGGCGAAGAGAAGGGGAGGGAGTCCTCTTCGATCGCATTTCTGGATAGGTCCTCTCCCGCTGTCACCTTCGCTAAGACCTTCTCTGACCTTTTTTCGCGTTGCGAGAGCACAGGTGGCCTTGTATCGTGGAGCATTGGGTGAATCGTGTTTCCATAAAGCGGAGATGACTTGTGTACGATCCGCCGTCCCGTCTTTGTCGAGCTTGAAGTAGAGGGCCTCGAATGTTTGTCACTACAGGTCTGGTCGCTGAGTGTGAATGGGTCGTCTCCACTGCCAATACCGGTTCTGACAGTGTCAAACGATACACTGTCGCGTGCTGACGCTGTCTCATGGAAATCATGACGACTCTTGGTGGACTTGAGATGCTCAAACATCGTGGGGGACTGCCCATCGTTCATCTGGCTGGATTTGGATTTGGTGGACTTGGACCTTCGTGGTTCGCTGACGTTGGCCTTTGGGCGGGGACGAGGCGATGAGATGGACTTTGCAGGGTATACCTCAGGCTCAGCAGCCTCGTTGGCAGTGACGACGTAGTTTAAAAGAGCCCCAGGCTGCATACCTCCAGTCGTTTTCGACTTTTTCTCTTTCTGCTTTGCACACTTCCGCGCAGCAAATTTCTTGGGATCATTGTTGATCTCGAACTGGATCTGTTCCCACCGTCGGACGTGCTCGCGAGCCCCGATCTCGACAATGGCCTGGGCAATCCACATCTTTTCTGGCGCATGGGGCAGCCACGGAGGAGATTTGCGCTTCTTGGACGGGCTCAGAGGCGCATTTCCGTCCGTACCTGCGTTTTCCGTTTCTCCCTCCAACCCTTCATTCTCTTCTTCGGCAAGAAGTTGTAGATATTCGGGGCTGTCCTTTTCCGCAGCGAGATCCAGTCCAACGACTTCCCCTGGGATCACCGTCACCCTGAGTTCTGGGATTCCGTCACTCACAAAATGCTGCCGTCGTTCGGTGATTTGGTCAGAAGATGTGATATGTGATGCTGCTGCACCACGTTGTAGCCGGTCCGCAAGGAGAGCCGGGGCCATCACTCGCACAAACTTCCAAGCACCTGGTTTGTACATCCAGTCGAACATTTCCGCAGCATAGACACGCAGCGCTTGCATATCGACTTCTCCATCCCAGGCCTTGACCCATGACTTTTCCAATCTCTTCAATTCGTCCGCTGGTGTGACTGCAGGATTCATATAGTATCCCAGTATCTTTCTGTCGGGGAAGTTGTCGGGAATACGTATCGATTTCCTTTTCATCTTGAAATAGCCGCTTTCGTTGGTCTCGAGCTCGAATTGTAGTCGTTCCCTCCATTCTGTGATTCCATTTTCGTCTCCGCTCCTCACTAGGTCCAAAAGGTCGCTTCCAAACCCTGCCCTGGCGATCTCGCATGCCAGCGTACTTCCAATTCCGGCAACGCCATCCTCATCATAATCACCACCGCTCAAGAGTGCTACCAGAATCATTCCCTCAGGATCTAACCCGCTGAGCTTCTTCACCCGATGCAAATCCAAAACGCTCACGTGTGTGGCAGTCTTGTTGCCTTTCTTCCCATTTCCCTCCTTCGACCAATCCCGTAGCGTGAGGCCAGAGCCAAACATGATGGCATCAACATCCTGTGTCATAACCGCATCCACGATCCCTTTCCGCTGAAGCATCGCACACTCTGCCTCGGCTTCCCCCGGCGCCACGTGCGTGGGATATCGAAACAGAGAAACTAAACCCTTTGACATTTCGCTCTCGACGCATCCCCCATGCCATTTCGACACTGTCCGTCCCCGTTTCGTGAGAGGTTTATTCTTGCCATCATAGACGAAGACGGGCTGAACGGGCAAAGCCAGTAACTTGACAAGGCGGTAGAAGAGTGTTCGAAGGGCCGGATTTTTGCCCCCTTGCCCGCCGTGCTGGGTCTGGAAATTCCAGATTGCGGCATCAATGGCGATTCGAAGGGGTCGAGATTGTTTCTGCAAATGCTCGATAGAGAGGCGGGAAAGAGCCACGCGTTCGCCTTTACCGATTTCTTTCAAAAGGCTGACATAAAACGGCAAGCATGTGAGGGTTAGCATAGGATTTTGCTCATGATGCTGGGGCTTTTTTTGCTTTCTCTTGTTCTTCGAGGCAACAATATTGCTTGCCACAGGCTTTATGCCACCGTCACTCAGGAATATGTGGTTGATGTGGGTCGACTTACCCAGGGATGCCCATCTCCTCAACCACAGGCTGTCCTCACATTTGAGTAATTTTAAACGTGGCCTCTTGCCTCCTATCCTTTCATCGTTCGATTCTCTGGGGCGTGGCGTTGTTGAAGCTGTTAAAGCCGTCGTCGTTTCTTCCCCTTTTGAGTTCATTTGTTGACATGGCAACATGGTTGACGTTCCTGCTTCCCGGCAAAACTTCGGCTGTGGCACCATGGAAATTGGCAGGCGTTAACCACCCACACCTACGTGACCTACCTAGGTACAGAGGTGTGGCAGGCTCGTTCTCTGCTGGGAAAAGTATAAACCCACAGACGGGATCGGGACGAAGATATATTGCGGTTGGGCGGTTTGATCACTCGGAAGGAATGCTACGAGACAAATATTCGGCCATACAGAAGACGAGGCTGTTGTACACGCGCATTGATGCAATGCCAGTAATATGTCATTGAAAGCACCCACCCAGTATCGTTTTCATTATTCTCACGGGAACTCCCAACTCCAAAAACATTTTCCAACGGTTATTAACGTCACGGACCCCGGACTTCGTCAAAAAACTACATCAGCTGACAGGATCTCGCTTGCCGGATCAGCCGTCCCAACCACAGCCTTGTTACTCTTCAACCAGCAATTCCGATTCCAATCGACCACGTTCTGGTCCAACCCTGCCTGAAATACCGCGTGTATGCAGGTGGTGTTGGAGCCACCGTTCATTTCTGCGTAGTGGTTTATGGAAGCACATGCCTCGACGCAATCCTGCCACGTGTAGACAAAGACGGAAGCGAGATCGCCGTCATTGTACAGAAAGTCGCAGTTCAAACTGAACAATTGGCCCTCCCACTTGGATGGGTAGCTTTGACCATCCAAAGTTGGACAGTCAAGAGCGAGGCTCGATATCTGGGTGTCGACTAGAGCGGTGTAGTCAGTAGCGAGGGCGGCGGAAGCAGAGACAGATGAAGGAATTGATGAAGTTGGTGCTGAAGCTGCCAAATGTATAGTTGAAGTTGCTGTTACCGCTTCCGAGGAAGCCGTCTTCAAGGCTCTGCTCTATTGTCAGCCACAAGTTGTAATCTGCGGTAGATTGATGTCCTTGTCAGTCCCATACCTTTGAGAACTAGCACAGGCGCCACCAACTCCTCCTCCGACTATGGCGGCTACAATTATAGCAGTGGCCAGAGCTGTGACAATTCCGAAAATCGTTGGAGTCCAGCCAAATGGTAGCCTGTGTTGGTTGTTTCTGTAGTTGCCGTCGTTGCTTGCACCACTGGGCAATATGTACTCTGTCGATTTCTCTGTGCGATCAAGCTCTTTAGGGTGATAGACTTCGGGATAAGAAGGCTGCAGTTGTCGTCAGAAGACCGCACTCTTGTAGATAGAGCTTCAATACAAACCTGATAGGACTCTGGCAAGGTACTATAAGGGTCGACTTTACTCCCGCGAGCAGCCATGCTGGCAACGGAAAAGGCTTGAAGGCTGTCGGTGTAATTCTGGGGTAGATACCTGCCCTTCGCAGCAAAGATGCTGATCCCGAGATACGGGTCAAGTGAGAGCTCGAGAGGAAGACCATTGGCGTTGAATGAGGTGGGAATCAATGTAGGAGTAAATAGAGCGAGATGGATGTCAAAGACCGGCTGCCACGAAGGCCACATATGAAGCATGAAACGTGAACATTGTGTCGGCCACGTTGAATCTCTGCGCTGTGCGGCCCCCTTGACGCGGAATTAGAGATTTTGCAAGTCGTCTGTAACGGCTCGAGGCGACGATGCCGACCCAGTGTTTCTGAGATGAGCATTCCTAAAAAGGACGCTCTGAATTGATTCGACACCTTGCTAGCGGGGCGTCTACCGTCACCAAGCCGTTACAGCTGCCGCTTGGTGGTGTGTAGCCCAGGGCCAAGTGGGGGCCGATATGTAAGGAACACGGAACAATCCGATCCAATTGATCAATCGAAGTAAATATAGAGGTGCTCAGAGGCGCAATGTATCAGGGATTGGATCGCAATGTGAAAGGTCGATCGGTCAAGGGTAAAAGAGTGGGAGTTTGGGAGTGGACATACCGAGTGTTTATTGGTGGCAGCTTCAGCAAGGCAGCTTCTTTGGAGCGCTTGTGGCTTGCCGAGTTCCCTGGTAGGTTCGAGTCGGCCCGTGTGCGAGAAGGTTGTAGATCAAATACGGAGAATACGACAGTACTCCGCATCTATTTGCCTGTGCTTCCCAGATGATCCTGCTGGCTCTTTATGGACCTCGCCTCGCTTCCCCATTCACAAACCCAGATAGTTTAGGGAGAGCCATGGACGATTCCTCACTACACATCACATGAACAAGGTGGTAGGTCGCCGTCGAGAGCCAATGATCTTACCGGGCTGTGTCCCAGTTGAAACACGTACTAGCTGCTTGGGTGCAGCTGCGAATATCAATCGTTCTATCTCGAGGCATATTAGACGATGTGAGGTTCACCTTTGCTATTTCGTAAAATTCTGCCAGCCGGCGCAATTAATTCTCTAACGTCAGTTAGTGTACCGAGTATTTCGCAGATATATGAAAATGTATATGCCGAATTAATATTGCCTTGATCTGTAGACGCGCTGATGACTAAGCCCGGGATCGCGTTTCTGATTGGTCAAGGGATGTCGCGTTAATGGAGATTTTGTAACGACAACGCCTGATCTACGTGAACCAGCCTCCGTGCCACAAGCTCTGTACAACAATTCACTTACTTGCAAGGGAGGTGGAGGCGACGACAAGCAGAATTGACCGAGCAATGGCATCCACCGTCGCCTCCGCCATCCGCCCCAGCCTCCGCGAAGCATCTTCACGCCAGCAATCCGGCAGCCCTCACACACCCACCGGTCGCTTCATCTCCTCCGCTCAGTCTTCGCCCGGCTCGTACTCTTTTCGCGCCGAAGAGGATCCCATCATCATCGAGATTGACCCTCGTGGCCTCAGCGCCGGCTTTCAGGGCGAGAGTGGACCGCAGTGTTTCATCCCGTTCACCTCCCAGAATGCTGGGCGAGTGGGTGACTATCGCTCCTTTCTCCCGGGATTCAGAAGACGCAGGCAAGATCTGGCATTGAAGAGCAAGGAGTATGAACTGTGGAGAAATGATCTGAGGGATGTCGACTTGGGGCTGTTGGAAGACAAGTTGGAACGAGCAGTGCGCGAGGCATACAACAAATATCTGTTGGTGGACGCGGGCACTGCACGTTTGGTTCTGGTCTTGCCTTCGTTAGTACCTCATCCCGTACTATCGACAGTATTGACACTTCTGTTCGAGCGATGGAAGTACTCTACCATCACGCTGTTGCCGGCACCGACCATGTCCATTGTCGGGGCCGGATTGCGATCGGGTCTGGTTGTGGAGGTAGGCTGGGAGGAAACGGTGGTGACGGCAATCTACGAGTATCGCGAAATACACGTCCGCCGGAGTATCCGCGCCATGAAGGCTTTGATTTTGAAGATCGGGGCGCTCTTGGAGAGTATCAAGAAGGAGCAAGATGAGTCGATTCGTGATTCTCTTGTGCTTGATTTTGACTTCGTGGAGGAGTTTGTGGATCGTGCTGGTGCATGTCATGCATTATTTCCAATCGCGAAAGATGATCTATCAGCAAGGACATCAAAATTGAATCTGGAGGACCAAGGAGATGCTGGTGCCTCTGGTGGTGAAACTGAAACCTTGGTGATTGACTGGCCAACGGATACATCTTCTCGACCCATCGCCATCTCGAGACAGGCATTGTGTGAAGCATCTCTCGACACACTAGTCGCACCAAAGACCGATGATTATCGGGACGATCATGAGCAGTCAATTAGTCAACTTCTGTATGCAACGCTTCTGGCAGTGTCATCGGATGTTCGGGGTATTTGCATGTCAAGGATTATCTTTTTAGGTAGGGGTTCATCTCTGGCAGGTTTGTCACAACAGGTCCTGGAAACAACCAATACCGTCATCAGCGAGCACGGATGGACACCTATCCGAGGGCAACACACGAAGGTCAAGCGCAGCAGCCTTGCAGAACTGGCTCAAGCGAGGGCCGTTCCCCCTGATACTCGACATGACCTCAATCCCCCAGGGACCGACGACTTTGTTGAGCAACGACTCTTCAAGCAGAAATCAAAGGATGCGCAGCAACCTGTTACTGCCATCCTGCGGCAGGTCGAATCTCTTGGACCATGGGCTGGTGCCAGCCTTGTCGCCAGTCTGAAGGCGAAATCCTTTGTTGAGATTGAGAGGGAGAGATTCCTCTCTCATGGACTGGCCGGAGCACATCGCGACCTAGATCCTAGTGCCCTTCATCAACAGCGCAGCACAGCAACGAAAGGCAGCGAGAGGACTAGCTGGACATTGGCAGGATGGGGGTGAGTCAAGGATCTGGAACGCCACTGAGTGTGGTTCGGTCATCACTTTTATTCGTTTGGGATACAGCGGTTGGGCATTGTGAATGTATGTGGTTGTCGTCGTTTCACTGTTCCGTCGTTGAGGCGATGTATCTCTTCTGCGCGCCACCTCAACGATAGTGAAATGAGTAGACAAAACATTCCCTTTCTGCTCATTGTCTCGTGCTACCTTTTCTTTGTATCGGGATGCCAGCAGCAAACTCTAGCTCTCACCTCTTCTCTTCATGGGCCACGGCACCGTTGATACTCTGAGGGAATCCTGTCGGACTTGTGACGTCTCCCGAGCTTCTGATAGCAGTGATATATCTGCTGTGACTTGTTTTTTGTGGAAGGGGAATCGTCTTTTGCACGAGCTCAGGGAAAGAGCGTACGCCGACCGAACAAACGGGCTGCCATCGATGTTGCCGTTGATAGTGACGTCCGCTGGCCTCCCAGACCTTCTGTTGGCACAACGAGGACGTCATTGCCATCCAGTGACTTTGTCCTGTTGAAGCAAGTGCTACTCTCGACTAAACTACCAGATGAGTCTAACCAGGACGCCCTTCACCCCAGATCCCAAGTCAAAGACACCCACAAACAAACTCTTAAGGAGAAGCAGAAACAAACAAACGACATCCCCATCTACATCCACATCCACATCCACAACCACACCACGCCATCTCATAGTGACACATCCATCAAATATGTCTTCCACGGAGAACCTGAATAGCAATGTCGAGGAGGAGGCGAACACCTCTAGCAACAGCTTGAACAGCATCAAGTCGGTCTTCTCGTCGTTGAGACGCGCCGCCACAAACGACAGCAAGAAGAGCGACGCGTCGTCGGACTCAAAGTACGACCCTCTCACCATCCAGCCCGACCCTCTACCCGACAACCGCAGCGAGATTGAAGGTCTCCTCAACCGTCAGCTCAGCGCGCTCGACCACCTCCGCCGCACCGTCGTCGCCCGCAACCAAGAAATCAAAGACTACTGCTCCCGCGCAGCCTACTACTACAACCTGCGACCGCGAGTCGCACCCTCGTTTCTCCGCCAGCTGGACATCGAGATCCATGTCCTTCGCCAGCAGCGCAACCGATTCCAGGCCCTTGTGGATATGCGCCACAATGAGATCGTGCGCATGGCCGAACATCGGAAGAAGCTGGATGCGGACCAAGGCCTGGATTGCAACGTCTACGACATGTATCTCGATTTCCGTCGCGTCTCTGAGTGGGAGCAGCTGTTCTCGATCTGAAAAGAAGTTGGTAACTAAATTGGCTTTCAACAGCAGACGGGGCATTGTGACAGCCAATAGTGACAAGGAGTTCAATGGTCAAAAACAAGTCACCTGGCGACAACACCAAGGGCCTAGAGGATTGTGAAAATTCACATCACATGGGACACGGCAGGGGACAGCATTAACAGCATTTGTTTTTCAAGGGGAGAATGGCGAGCTGGAGAGCTGAGAGAGATAATACAAGTGGAGCTTAGGCTCAAAGGGTCCTGGTATCAGGACTTTTCACGATATGATATCTGTCACGACCAACGTCGCTTCCGGGGGGGGGGGGGGGGAGGCCATGAACATTGGCTTTGGCATAGTGTTCAAGCACAAGGTTATTGCAAGAAACTTCTAGCTGAAGGGACAGGGCACGGAAGGGCGTGCGACAAAACGAGATGAAACAACCGGACATGCAAATCGTGACGGATGATCTGGAACTTGTGCTTTGTCTGATGGCGCTGAACTTGGGATAAATCGTTGAGGGCATGGCATTCTTTTTCTTGCATGCATTGGTATTTGTGCTTGGGGCGTGTGCCTTACAGTTGTTACTCGAGTAGCATTCGTTGCATTGGCAGCCTGATCGAGTCACACAGAGATAGCTGACATGCATGCAAAGTAATTGATCACGATCCATATGACAGTCGACTGACTGAGCCTTTGCTTGATTGATTGATCTGGTATCTCCATCATCCTCGGTGCTACTGGACGACTCTATCTAGCCAGGAATGATATAGACGTCGACGAAAATGCCCATTCGCTTTTGACGTGTATAGATAGTCAGTCGTGGCGCAGGCGGTGGGCTGGTGGTGATGGCGGCGGCGGCGAAGTAACTCGACCTGCGCAGTTGTCATCGTATAGTACAGCACAGTACAGCACAGGACGTATCCTTTGGCTGCTGCTCATACCCTTGCTCTTGCTCTTGCTCTGCATTTTTATTCATCTACCCACGTAACTCGTGCTTGTATACAACAGGTAGATTATCTACCCGTATATGTACTG